GTGAGGGGCCTGGGTGGGGGTGTTTGCCGTGGCTCTTCCTGCCGTGGGGGTGTCCCCACCCCGTGCCAAGGAGGGGCGTCCTGGGGACGAACCGGGAAAGGTGGGAATTGGAGGCCAATCCCAGGGATCAGCTCGGGAGCAGCTCAGCCCCGGGAGGAGCATTTTTTTTTTGGGGGGGGGGGTCTCCTCAGCTCCTGTGGGGGGTGTGTAGGAAGCACAGGGGGTGGTTCTTCCCGCACGTGGATTTTGTGGGATTGTGGTGCATTCCCAGCCCTGGGAGCGCCCTGTGCTGGTGGGAGGTGCCCGTGGAATGGGATTGGACCCTCCCCGTGCTGCCATCAGGAAAAGACGCCTTGGGGGGGCAACACCCCCAAATCCTGGGGCCCAAAGCAGCGGCCTCAGCCCCGGGAAGGCGTTGGCCAAAGGTGGATTTTCCTGGGGTTTTTTTTGGGGCAAAATCTTGTTCCCCACAACTCCCTGCCAGGAGGGGGTGTCCCCAATTCCCAGGGAACAGGGCCAGGAGGAGAGGGAATGGCCTCCAGCTGGGCCAGGGGAGGGGCAGGGGGGATATCGGGAACAATTCCCGCCTGGAAAGGGCTGTCAGGCACTGGAATGAACTCCCCAGGGCAGGGCTGGATTCCCCATCCCTGCAGGGATTCCCAATCCCTGGGGATGTGGTCCCTGGGGACAGGGGGCAGGGCTGGCCTGGGCTGGTTGGACTCCGGGATCCAGGAGGGATTTTCCAGCCTAAGTGACTCCGTAATTCCATGATTTGCAGGGTCCCGCTGCCCTGCCCTGCCCTCGGTCACCCCACAATCCCCGGGGTCCCTCCAGGAGAGCTGGAGAGGGATTTGGGATCAGGGCCTGGAATGGCAGGACACAGGGAATGGCTTCCCACTGGGAAAGGGGAGATTGGGGTGGGAGATTGGGAAGGGATTCCCGGTCGGGCTGGAATTCCCAGGGAAGCTGTGGCTGCCCCTGGATCCCTGGAGCGTCCCAGGCTGGGTTGGATCCCCTGGGATGGTGGGAATTGTCCCTGTCCATGGGATGGGATGGGATGGGATGGGATGGGATCCCTCCCGCCCGAAGGAGCCTCCTGAGAGCAATCCCGCAGCTTTCCAAGGGAATGGGCAGGATTTTCCATCCCCACCGGGATGACGGCAGGGCTTTCCCAAGGGAAAAGCAGCCGGGAATTCCCTCTCTCCTCCTTCCCTGGTGCTGCTCCCACCCAAGCCCAACCCCGAGCAGGGGGAAGGAGAAGGGAGGGGAGGTTTGGGTGGAGGGGAGCAGATCCCTTCCAGCCTGGGCTGGGGATAAACGGGTCAAACATCCACCCCATCCCGCTGTGGGTCCTACGGGGACCCCCTGGGGGTGCTGTGGGGCCGATGCCGGGCCGTGCATGGCGTGGGTTGCTGTGGTGCCGTGTCCCGAGGGGGTCCCTGCCCGGGCTGGGGGGCAGAGCCCTCTGCGTGTCCCCGTCACAGCCTCCTCCTCCTCCCTCTCCCCCTGCCACTCCCCAAGCCTGGCAGACGAAGCAGAAGAAGATCAGCACAGCAGGTAAAACACACCCACCCCAAAATCCCCTCCAAACCCCCCGGGTGGGGCTGCTGAACCTGCCCGGTCCCGCTGAAGGGGTTTGGACACTTCCAGAGATGGTTTAGGGAGAGCCAATGCCCTAAGCTGGCAGATTTGGGGTGAGCTGAGGGGGCTGTGGGTGGGTTTGGGGTGAGCTGAGGGGGCTGTGGGTGGTTTGGGGTGAGCTGAGGGGGCTGTGGGTGGTTTGGGGGTGAGCTGAGGGGGCTGTGGGTGGTTTGGAGTGAGCTGAGGGGGCTGTGGGTGGGTTTGGGGTGAGCTGAGGGGGCTGTGGGTGGGTTTAGGGTGAGCTGAGGGGGTTGTGGGTGGTTTGGGGTGAGCTGAGGGGGCTGTGGGTGGTTTAGGGTGAGCTGAGGGGCTGTGGGTGGGTTTGGGGGTGAGCTGAGGGGCTGTGGGTGGTTTGGGGTGAGCTGAGGGGGCTGTGGGTGGTTTGGGGTGAGCTGAGGGGCTGTGGGTGGGTTTGGGCTGAGCTGAGGGGGCTGTGGGTGGGTTTGGGGTGGGCTGAGAGGCTGTGGGTGGGTTTGGGGGTGGGCTGAGAGGCTGTGGGCACTGCCAGAGGTGGTTCAGGGAGAACCACGACCCTGAGCTGGCAGATTTGGGCTGAGCTGAGGGGGCTGTGGGTGGTTTAGGGTGAGCTGAGGGGGCTGTGGGTGGGTTTGGGGTGAGCTGAGGGGGCTGTGGGTGGGTTTGGGGTGAGTTGAGGGGGCTGTGGGCACTTCCAGAGATGGTTTAGGGAGAACCACGACCCTGAGCTGGCAGCTTTGGCTGAGCTGAGGGGGCTGTGGGTGGGTTTGGGCTGAGCTGAGGGGGCTGTGGGTGCTTCCAGGGGTGATTTAGGGAGAGCCACAACCCTGAGCTGAGGGGGCTGTGGGTGTTCTGGATGTTCTGGATGTTCTGGCCCCGAGCCGTGCCCGTCCGTGGCGGTGCCAGGCGGTGCCGGAGGCATCACCCGATCCCCGCGGGCCCTGAAATATTTATGGGCAGGGCCGGGCTCTGGGCAGGGGTGGGAATCGCCATTCCCGGCGGGATTGAACCCCTTCCCCCGGGATGTGGCACTCGGGGACCCGGGGTGGCCTCGGGGGAATTCGCAGGGATAGCTCAGAGTTCCGTGCCCGGGGAGATCTGAAACTCCCGGCTCCCAAAATGTGGGATTTCTGGCTGGGATGCGCCGCCCTCAGCGCGGAACGGGCAGGGCCGGGGTCCTTCCCATCCCGGGAAAAGGAAAAAGGGGAGGGAAAGTCCCCGCCGATTTTCCGACCCCCTTCACCGACCCTTTTTGCCAGCCCTTTCCCTGCGTTTCACTGAATTACCTTAAATATTTAACGAACCCATAAACTGCTTGGGGAAAAAAACAAACCAAAAAAAACCCCAAAACCAGAACCCCGCACCCCGGGGAGCCTGAAAACCCGGGAAAAGATCCGTTGGGATCCCTGGGATAAAGGGAACGGGGTGATGGAACACCCTGGTCGGAGATTCCCATCCCCAACCCTCTCCCAATCCTCCCGGAGCTCCCCGGGTCGGGACGCACTCCCTGCCCGCAGGGGGCTGCTCCGGGAATTCCGGCACGGGGATTTAATGGGATTTAATGGGATTTAATGGGATTTAACGGCTTTTGTCTCTCCCTCCCCGGTGCCTCCCCCAGGATTAAGTTTAACGATGGATACAAGTCGGTAGCAAGGTACCGGAACGCCCTGCCCGGGGGGGTCTTGGATTTTGGGGAGAGGAGGAGGGGTTTGCTCCCAGCCCGGGTGCTCCAAGGTGTGGCTGTCCGGGAATGAACACCCCCAGGATTTGGGATACGGGCCAGGCTGCTCCTCTGCCCCCTCTGCAGGGGCAGAAAGGCAGGGACAGGACACAGGGAATGGCTTCCCACTGGGAAATGGGAGATTGGGAAGGGATTCCCGGCTGGGCTGGAATTCCCAGGGAAGCTGTGGCTGCCCCTGGATCCCTGCAGTGTCCCAGGCCGGGCTGGATCCCCTGGGATAGCGGGAGATGCCAAGGTTGGAGCGGGATGGGATTTAAGGTCCCTTCCCACCCCAAACATCCCAGGATTCCAGGGGGATCCCAGGGGTGTCCCGTGGGCTGTGGGAGGCTCTGGCTGGGTGGGGTTGTTCCTTCCTCACCTTCCCGCTCCTGGCTTTGTCTCTTCCAAGCAGCGAGGACCCCGAGGATCCCAGGTATGGGATGTGGTGTCCCTGCCTCCCTCCTCCCTCTGGGAATGCCGTGAGCTGGGGGTGCTGCTCCATCCCTTCGGATCCAGGGACAGCTCCTGCTGCTCCCTGCCCGGAGCAGGATCCAAATTCCTTGGATCCCCTCCCTCCCCCTGCCCATGTTCCCTCTGTCCTCTCGTAGTTCCAGCCAGGACATTTCTCCTGCTGCTCAGGGACCTTCCAAAGGAGCTTTCAGGGTAACAGCTGTCTGTCTGTCCATCCATGCATCCATCCATCCACCCATCCATCTGCCCATCCATGCCCATCCATGCATCCATCCACCCATCCATCCACCCATCCATGCATCCATCCATGCATCCATCTGCCCATCCATGCATCCATCTGCCCATCCATGCATCCATCCACCCATCCATCCATCCATCCATCCATCCATCCATCTATGCATCCATCTATCTATCTATCTATCTATCCTATCTATCTATCTATCTATCTATCTATCCATCTATGCCTATCTATCCTATCTATCTATCCATCCATCTATCTATCCATCTATCTATCTATCTATCCATCTACATCCATCTATCCATCCATCCATCCATCCATGCATCCATGCATCCATGCATCCACCCATCCATCCATCCATCCATCCATCCATCCATCCATCCATCCATCCCATCCATCCATCCCTCCATTCCATCCATCCATCCATCCATCCCTTCCATCCCATCCATCCATCCATCTCCATCCCATCCATCCATCCATCCACCCACCCATCCATCCATCCATCCATCCATGCATCCATCCATCCACCATCCATCCCTCCATCCATCCATCCCTCCCTCCCATCCATCCACCCATCCCTCCCATCCATCCCATCCATCCATCCATCCCTCCCTCCATCCATCCATCCATCCTGCTGTGACCATCTCCCCACCCATCCCCACCCCTGCCATTCCCATGGATTTATCCATCCAGGCTCTTTCCTGTCCATTCTCTGCCCTTCACTCCCTCTCCCCATTCCCACCCCCCTCAGCCCTGCCCAAACTCCATCCCCAATTCCCTGGATTCCGGTGGGATCCTCGGGAATCCCCTGCTCCGAGCTGTCCCTGTGCCCTGGGGGGTGGGTTTGCTGGATTCTTTGGAGCATGGAATGTGCTGGGAATGCAGGGTGGGGGTCTGCCCGTGGATCCCATCCCGGTGAATCCCTCTTTGTGATTCCAGAGCAAAGGCAAAAGGGAAGGAGAAAAAACACCTCGTGCTGCCGTTCAGGTACCCTGATTCCCCCCCAATCCCTCTTCCCAGGGGCTTCTCCAGCACCCTGGACCGGCTGGAATGGGAGGGAAAGCTCCCAGAACCAGGGCTGGGAAGAGGAGGAAACTCCAGGAGCAGGAGGAGAAAAACTCTGGGAGTAGGAGGAGGAAACTCCTGGGAGTAGCAGGAGGGAAAATCTGGGAGCAGGAGGAGGAAACTCCTCTGGGAGCAGGAGGAGGGAAAATCTGGGAGCAGGAGGAGGAATCACCGTGAGCAGGAGGAGGAAAACTCCTCTGGGAGCAGGAGGAGGAAATTCCAGGAGCAGACTCCTGGTTTGGGGATCCTCTCTCTTGGTTTGAGGATCACTCCTCCTGGTTTGGGAACCATTTTTCTCGGTTTAAGAATCATTTCTCTTGGTTTGGGAACCATTTCTCCTGGTTTGGGAATCATCTCTCTTGGTTTGGGAATCATTTTTCCTGGTTTGGGAATCATTTCTCTTGGTTTGGGAATCATTTTTCTTGGTTTGGGGATCATTCCACCTGGTTTTGGAATCATCTCTCTTAACTGGAGAATCATCTCTCCTGGTTTGGGAATCATCTCTCTTGGCTTGGGAATCATCTCTGTTGGTTTGGAAACCATCTCTGTTGGTTTGGGATCATCTCTGTTGGTTTGGGGATCATTTCTCCTGGTTTGGGAATCATCTCTCCTGGTTTGGGAATCGTCTCTCTTGGTTTGGAGATCATTTCTCCTGGTTTGGGGATAATTTCTCCTGGTTGGGGAACAATTTCCCTTGGTTTGGGGATCATCTCTCTTAACAGGAGAACCATTTCTGCTGGTTTGGGAACCATCTCTCTTGGTTTGGGAACCGTCTCTCCTGATTAGGGAATCATTCCTCCTGGTTTAAGAATCATCTCTCCTGGTTTGGGGATCATCTCTCCTGGTTTGGGAATCATCTCTCCTGGTTTGGAAACCATTCCTCCTGATTTGGGAATAATTTCTGCTGGTTTGGGAATCATCTCTCCTGGTTTAGGAACCATCTCTCCTGGTTTGGGAATCGTCTCTCTTGGTTTGGGAATCATTTCTGTTGGTTTGGGAACCATTTCCCCTGTTTTGGGAACTATTTCTGCTGGTTTAGAAATCATTTATCCTGGTTTTGGAATCATCTCTCTTGGTTATAGGATCATTTCTCCTGGTTTGGGGATCATTCCTCCTGGTTTGGGAACCATCTCTCCTGATTTGGGAACCATCTCTCTTGGTTTGGGAACCATCTCTGCTGGTTTGGGGATCATTTCTCTTGGTTTAGGAACCATTTCTGCTGGTTTAGGAACCATCTCTCCTGATTTGGGAATCATCTCTCTTGGCTTGGGAATCATTTCTCCTGGTTTGGGGATCATTTCTGCTGGTTTGGGGATCATTCCTCCTGGTTTGGGAATCATTTCTGCTGGTTTGGGGATCATCTCTCTTGATTTGGGAACCATTTCCCCTGTTTTGGGAACTATTTCTGCTGGTTTAGGAATCATTTCTCTTGGTTTGGGAATCATCTCTCTTGGTTTGGGGATCATCTCTGTTGGTTTGGGAACCATTTCCCCTGTTTTGGGAACCATTTCTGCTGGTTTGGGGATCATCTCTCCTGGTTTGGGAACCATCTCTCTTGGTTATAGGATCATTTCTGCTGGTTTGGGGATCATTCCTCCTGGTTTGGGAACCATTTCTCTTAACTGGAGAATCATCTCTCTTGGTTTAGGAACCATCTCTCCTGGTTTGGGAATCATTTCTCTTGGTTTGGGAACCATCTCTCCTGGTTTGGGAACCATTTCCCCTGTTTTGGGAACCATTTCTGCTGGTTTAGGAATCATCTTTCTTGGTTTGGGAATCGTCTCTCTTGATTTGGGGATCATCTCTCCTGGTTTGGGAATCATTTCTGCTGGTTTAGGAATCATTTATCCTGGTTTTGGAATCATCTCTCTTGGTTTGGGAACCATCTCTGCTGGTTTGGGAACCATTTCTCCTGGTTTGGGGATCATTCCTCCTGGTTTGGGGATCATTTCCCCTGGTTTTGGAGTCATCTCTCTTAACTGGAGAATCATCTCTCCTGGTTTAGGAACCATTTCTCTTGGTTTGGGAATCATTTCTCTTGGTTTGAGGATCATCTCTGCTGGTTTGGGGATCATCTCTCTTGGTTTGGGGATCATCTCTCCTGGTTTGGGGATCATCTCTCCTGGTTTGGGATCATCTCTCCTGGTTTGGGGATCATCTTTCCTGGTTTTGGAGCCACCCCTGCTGGTGTGGGAACCAGCAGCCCTCCAAAGGGTTCATTTCCATTCCTGGGTGCTTTTCCAGCCTCCCAGGGCAGGGGGAGCGGGATTTTCGTGCCTTGGAGCCTCCCCCGGGCAGGGCAGGAGCAGCTGGAATGAACCCCCCGCTCCCAAAGTGTGGGAGAGGAGGAAAACGGGGCTGGAAAGGGGGGATCAGGGCTCTGGAAAGGGCAAGGGGAGCGTGGATTCCTGGGTGGGATCAGGACAGGGGGTTCGGGCAGGGACGAGCGATCCCAGATCCATCCCAGATCCATCCCAGATCCATCCCAGATCCATCCCAGATCCACCCGGCTCCTGCCGCCTCTGGAGCGAGGGGGGAGGAGAAGGGAGCCCATTCCACCACCCTAGGAACGAGAAGCCTTGTCCCCTGTGCCAGGGAATTCCCCAATCCGGGCGTGGCCCCGCTCCCAGGTGTCCTGTCCCTGCTCCCAGGTGTCCTATCCCTGTTCCCAGGTGTCCTATCCCTGTTCCCAGGTGTCCTGTCCCTGTTCCCAGGTGTCCTATCCCTGTTCCCAGGTGTCCTGTCCCCATTCCCAGGTGTCCTATCCCTGTTCCCAGGTGTCCTGTCCCCGCTCCCAGGTGTCCTGTCCCCGCTCCCAGGTGTCCTGTCCCTATTCCCAGGTGTCCTATCCCTGTTCCCAGGTGTCCTGTCCCCATTCCCAGGTGTCCTATCCCCATTCCCAGGTGTCCTATCCCCGCTCCCAGGTGTCCTATCCCTGTTCCCAGGTGTCCTGTCCCCATTCCCAGGTGTCCTATCCCTGTTCCCAGGTGTCCTATCCCCATTCCCAGGTGTCCTATCCCCGTTCCCAGGTGTCCTATCCCCGTTCCCAGGTGTCCTATCCCTGTTCCCAGGTGTCCTGTCCCCATTCCCAGGTGTCCTGTCCCCATTCCCAGGTGTCCTATCCCCGTTCCCAGGTGTCCTGTCCCTGTTCCCAGGTGTCCTGTCCCCCTTCCCAGGTTTCCTATCCCTGTTCCCAGGTGTCCTATCCCCATTCCCAGGTGTCCTATCCCCATTCCCAGGTGTCCTGTCCCCCTTCCCAGGTGTCCTATCCCCATTCCCAGGTGTCCTGTCCCCACTCCCAGGTGTCCAATCCCCATTCCCAGGTGTCCTGTCCCCGTTCCCAGGTGTCCTGTCCCCACTCCCAGGTGTCCTGTCCCCACTCCCAGGTGTCCTGTCCCCACTCCCAGGTGTCCAATCCCCATTCCCAGGTGTCCTGTCCCCATTCCCAGGTGTCCTGTCCCCCTCCCAGGGGGTGTCCTGCTTTCCCGGCCCCATTCCCACCGCCGGGAATGCCGATCCCGCCCATCCGCGGTGCTGGGGCCGTGCTCTGCCCACCCCCACCCCCAGCCCGGCAGGGACCTTCTCCACCCGAATTTTGACCTGCAAGAGAGGGAATTTGGATGGGATTTTGGGAAGGAGTTCGGGATTTTGCCCTGGGAGGGTGGGGAGGGGCTGGGCTGGAATTCCCAGAGAATTCCCTGGACCCCTGGCAGTGTCCAAGGCCAGGCTGGACAGGGCTTGGAGCAGCCTGGGCTGGTGGGAGGTGTCCCTGCCCCCTGGAATGGGATGGGATTTGAGGTCCCTTCCCGGCCAAACCGTTCCAGGAGTGCCCAAGTGACGGAATTTTCTTGCCTTTTGCCCCCTCCCCGCTCCAGCAAAGGCAAAGAGAAGACCAAGGAGCACAAGTAGGTTTTGCTCTTCCTCCTCCTCCTCCTCCTCTTCCTCCTCCTTCCCAGTTTTCCCAGCTGATCCCTTGGGGTGCTTCCCCCTTCCCGCTTGGAGCAGCCCCTGGAAGCTCCGGGAGGGAACGGGGAGGTCTTGAGGGCAGCGTGGATCCCCCCCGGGCTGGGTGGCAGGGGGCTGGAGGGAGAATTTCCCGGCCTGGGAAGGGAGAACGGGGAGGGCTCAGGGCAGGGGAGGCTCTGGTGGGACCTGGGAGCAGCTTCCCTTCGGAAATCAGGGAAAGGTCCCTCCCCCGGGGGGTGCCAGAGCTCGGGGAGGGTTTGGGATTGTTGGGATTGCGCAGGGCCGGGAGCTGGACTTGAGATCCTGGTGTGATCTCCTCCCGTCCTCTGGGCTATTCCAGAATTCCATGACACCACAGCTCCGGCAGCCTCCAGCCCCTGCCCCCCTTCCATGCCAGCCGTTTCCCTGGATTCCTGCCCAGCTGTTCCCCCCCCAGGGCAGCCCCTTCCAGCCCCCTTGGCTGGGCAGAATTTGGGCTGAAACTTCAGCTCAGCCCCGGGGAACGATCCTGGAACCACCACGGGCATTTCCACACCAGTGGGGGCTCTCCTGGCTCCTGTTTATTGCCCCGGGGTTTGAGGGAAAATCCATGGATTAGGATGAGATGGAACCCCCCCAGCTGACGGTTTAAAGGGGGGAGGTGAGGGCGGAGAGGAGACAAAAAGCCTCAAGCAGCAGACAGGGACAGGGCAGAGCAGGGAAAAATGGGGAAGAGCTCTCCCTGCGCTGGTTCCTGCTGGGAAGGAAAACGAGGAGAGGGCAGAGCAGGGAAAAATGGGAAGAGCTCTTCCCTTCCCCTGGGAAGAGGCACGAAGGGTCTGGGGTTGGGATTTTTTTCCCCGGGGTGGTGAGTGCAGGATGAGCCCCTGGGACGAGGTGGAGCCTCCTCGCTGATGGTGTGAAGGGAGGAGGAGATGGATGGGGGAAGGAGAGGAGACAAATGCCCTCGAACAGTCAACAAGGGGAGGGAAGAGCCGAGAAAAACGGGAAGCGCTCTCCCAGAGCGCTGATCCCTGCTGGTTCCCCGCTCCGGGAAGGGCTCGCGGTGCTCGGGGAGGAGCAGCGGCTTCTCCCGGGAATGCTCTTTGGGAATGCGGGAGGGAGGCAGGGCCCGGGTGCAGGAGGAGGAGTGGGAGGCCAGCTCATGTTCCACGGGCGGCCGCTCATGGAATATTCATGCGGGGCCGGTGTCAGCTCTCCCGAGTGCCGGCGGGAGCGGCGCGGGGGTCGGGATCGGGATCGGGAACGGGAACGGCTCGGGCTGCGGAGCCCCCGAGGGATCGCTCGGTCGGGATCGCTCCGTCGGGATCGCTCTCTTGGGATCGCTCCCTCGGCATCCCTCGGGATCGTTCTCTCGGGATCTCTCCCTCGGGATCTCTCTCTGGGGATCTCTCCCTCGGGATCTCTCCCTCGGGATCGCTCTCTGGGGGTCGCTCCTCGGGATCTCTCCCTCGGGATCGTTCTCTCGGGATCTCTCCCTCGGGATCGCTCCCTCGGGATCGTTCTCTTGGGGGATCGCTCCCTCGGGGTCCCCGTCCCCGCTGCCGTCGCTCGGCCATGGGAGCTCCCCCCTGAAGCGGCCGCGCCGCTTCCCGAGCCCCCCGACCCGACCCCACCGACCCCTCGGCCCGGGGACAGCGAGAGCAGGAGCGGAGGGGGCAGGTACGGCCCGCAGGGAATGGGAGTGGGAGTGGGAACGGCGATGGGAATGGGAATGGGGATGGAAAGGGCAATGGGAATGGGGAGGGAATGGGGAAGGGAATGGGGATGGGGAAGGGAATAGGGATGGGGAAGGGAATGGGGATAGGAATGGCAATGGGGAAGGGAATGGAAATGGGGACGGGGAAGGGAATGGGGAAGGGAATGGCAATGGGAATAGGGATAGGAATGGCAATGGGGATGGAGATGGGAATGGGAATGGGAATGGGGATGGGAATGGAAATGGGGAAGGGAATGGGGAAGGGAATGGCAATGGGGATGGAGATGGGAATGGGAATGGGGATGGGAATGGGAATGGGGATAGGAATGGCAATGGGGATGGGAATGGCAAAGGGAATGGCAATGGGAATGGTAATGGGAACGGGGATAGGAATGGCAATGGGAACGGGAACGGGGAGGGGTTCAGGATGTGGCCGCGCTCGCCCGGCTGGGGAGGTTTGGGAAGGGGCCGGGACCGGGATGAGCCGCTGGGATTCTGCTCCCGAGCTCTGGGCCGGCTCCTGCCTCCTCCTCTGCCTCTTCCTCCTCCTCGGCACCCGCCGAGGAGCTGCCAAACCCACCGCTTTGCAGTTTAGTTCTCCTCTGTCTTTTTTCCCTGTTTTTCTTTTTTTTTCTCCTCCCTCCCGCCCCATCCCTGTTTCCCCCCTTTTTTGTGTGTGTGTTTGGGTTTTGGTTTTGTTTCCCTTCCCTGTTTTTTTCCCGACTTTTTTTTATTTTTTTAAATTATTTTAACTTTTTTTTTTATTTTCCTGATTTTCCCATTTGTTTTTATTTTTTCAGTGGTTTTCCTTTTAGGTTTTTTCTCTCATTTCCTGTTTTCTTTTTCTCTTTTTCCCTTTTTCTTTTTATTTATTATCTTTTTCCTCTTCCCCATTTTCATGTTTTCTTTTTTTATTCTCCTTTTACTTTTTTGGTTTCCCTTTTTTCTTTTTTTTTCCTATTCTCTTTTTTCCTGTTTTCTTTTTCCTCTCTTCTTTTTTCCTCTCTTCTTTTTTGGTTTTTTCCTCTTATTTCTTGTTTTCTTTTTCCTTGTTTTCTTTTTCCCTATTTTTCCCCCTATTATTTTCATTTTTCCTCTTCTCCTTTTTTCCTCTTTTTTTCTCCTTTTTTCCTTTCCTTTTCTCCTTTTTTCCTCTTCTTTTCTCCTTTTCTTGCTGTCCTTTTCTCCCTGTCCTTTTCTCCCTGTCGTTTTCTCCCTGTCCTTTTCTCCCTGTCCTTTTCTCCCTGTCGTTTTCTCCCTGTCCTTTTCTCCCTGTCCTTTTCTCCTTTTTTTCCTCTCCTTTTCTCTTTTTTTCCTCTCCTTCTCCTTTTTTTCTCTCTCCTTCTCCTTTTTTTCTCTTCTTTTCTCCTTTTTTCCTCTCCTTTTCTCCTTTTTTCCTCTTCCTTTCTCCCTGTCCTTTTCTCCTTTTTTTCCTTTTCTTTTCTCCTTTTTTTCCTTTTCTTTTCTCCTTTTTTTCCTTTTCTTTTCTCCTTTTTTTCCTTTTCTTTTCTCCTTTTTTTCCTTTCCTTTTCTCTTTTTCCTTTCCTTTTCTCCTTTTCCCCTTTCCTTTTCTCCTTTTTCCCTTTCCTTTTCTCCTTTTTTCCTCTTCTTTTCTCCTTTTCTCGCTGTCCTTTTTTCCTTTTTTCCCACTTATTTTCTCCTTTTTTTCTCTCCTTTTCTCCTTTTTTCCTTTCCTTTTCTCCTTTTTTCCTTTCCTTTTCCTCCTTTTTTTCCTTTTCTTTTCTCCTTTTTTCCTCTCCTTTTCTCCTTTTTTCCCCTCTCCTTTTCTCCTTTTTTCCCCTCTCCTTTTCTCCTTTTTTTCCTTTTCTTTTCTCCTTTTTCCCTTTCCTTTTCTCCTTTTTCCCTTTCTTTTTCTCCTTTTTTCCTCTTCTTTTCTCCTTTTCTCGCTGTCCTTTTCTCACTTTTCTCCTTTTTTCCCATTTCTTTTCTCCTTTTTTTCTTTCCTTTTCTCCTTTTTTTCCTCTCCTTTTCTCCTTTTTTCCTCTCCTTTTCTCCTTTTTTCCTCTCCTTTTCTCCTTTTTTCCTCTCCTTTTCTCCTTTTTTCCTCTCCTTTTCTCCTTTTTTCCCCTCCTTTTCTCTTTTCTTCCCCTCTCCTTTTCTCCTCTTCTTTTCCCTTTTTTCCTTTTCTCATTTTTCCTTTCCTTTTCTCAATTTTTCCTTTCCTTTTCTCATTTTTTTTCTTTCCTTTTCTCCTTTTTTCCCCTCTCGTTTTCTCCTTTTTTCCCCGCGTGGATTTGGGGTCCCGGGAGAGGACCCTGCCAGAGCCTTCCCTGCAAATTCCCCCCTCAGCCGCTCCCCCCTCCTTTGGTTTTCCTTCCCCGGGAGCCTCAGGAATTCCCGGGACAGGTTTCATCCCCAACCACCCGCGGCCAAACTGCAGCTCTGGGGGCTGGGGTGGGGGGCTTGGTTTATTTTCTTTTTAAAAGATTTTTTTGTTAAGGATTTAATGGAAAAGAGAGGAGAATGTAACCATCCCTGGGGCTCCCAGCCTGCCGGATATTCCAGGCGGGAAGGGATCTCCAGGTCTGGGGGAGCTTCCACAGCCCGAGCTGGGATCTCCCTCGGGCTCTGCTCGTGAAGTGCACCCACGAAATGGGTTTGCAGAGGGCTCATGGGGGTCCCATCCTGCAGATCCTCCGGGGAAAGTCGATTCCTGGTGGAATTCCAGCTGGAATGGGTTTGCAGAGGGCTCTGCAAGGTCCCATCCCTGCAGCTCCTCCGGGAAAAGGCGATTCCTGGTGGAATTCCAGCCGGAATGGGTTTGCAGAGGGCTCATGGGGGTCCCATCCCTGCAGCTCCACCGGGAAAAGGCGATTCCTCTTGGAATTCCAGCTGAAATGGGTTTGCAGAGGGCTCGGCAGGGTCCCATCCTGCAGCTCCTCCGGGAAAAGGCGATTCCCGGCGGGATTAGAGCCGCGATTCCTGGCGGGATTAGAGCCGTGGAAACCTCGCCCTCCTCCTCCCTCCTTTATCCTTCCACGAGATGCCCCTTCGGGAGCATCCCAGAGGGATGGAGCTCATCCCGGCTGGCCTGGCCTTTGCTTTAGTCCCAGCTCCGAGCGGTTCCTGTGCCTTCCAGGTTGGATTCCAGTGGGAGGCGTCCCTGCCCACGGCAGGGGGTGGGAATTAAACGATCTTTAAGGCCCCTTTCCCACCCAAACCGCTCTGGAATTCCGTGCTTTTCCCTGTGCCCCGAGGCCTCTTTCCCTCCGTCTCCCGCCTGATCCTCCCTCCCTGGGAGAGGCTCCTCCTGCTCCCACTCCCACGGCCTGGAAAACGCTGAAATGCACTCATTTAGGGTGGTTTTTTTAAAAAAATTCTTTATTTCGTCTCTTTATCCAGAGCTGGGAAAGGAGTTTTTTCAGCCATGAAACTCGGCAAGACGCGCCCGGCGAAGGACGAGCATCGGAAACAGGGTATGGAAACATGGAATTATGTGGGATTATACGGTCGGGGTGGGAAGGGACCTTCAATCCCATCTCATCCCACGCCTTCCACTAGCACAGGTTGCTCCAAGTCCCGTTCAACCCGGCCTGGGACAGCTCCAGGGATCCAGGGGCAGCCACAGCTTCCCTGGGAATTCCAGCCCAGCCGGGAATCCCTTCCCAATCTCCCACCCCAATCTCCCCTTTCCCAGTGGGAAGCCATTCCCTGTGTCCTGCCATTCCAGGCCCTGATCCCAAATCCCTCTCCAGCTCTCCTGGAGCCCCTGCAGGCTCTGGAAGGGGCTCCCAGCTCTCCCTGGATCCTTCCCTGCTCCAGCCTGGCCATTCCCAGCTCTCCCAGCCTGGATCCAGAGCCGAGGGGCTCCAGCCCTGGCAGCATCTCCGGGGCCTCCTCCTGTCCCATCCCAAGAGGTCCCTGAGCCGCCCGAGCTGTTCCCAGAGCCGGAGGCAGCACCTCCCACCCGCTGTGACTCCGAGCCAGCCCAAATCCTCCCGGCTGGGCTGGGGACACCCCTTCCCCCAGGAAAGCAGCGGCTCAGCACCTTTTCCCAGGAGAATCCCGGGCTCGGCCCCCCCTCCCACGGCCGTGCCCCGGTGCTGGCGGCTCTGGGCTCTTCCCTCTGCCCGCAGCAATTTTCCACCTGGACAATCCACCCCTTTCTCCTGTTTTGTGGTTTTTTTTCTCCCCCCTTCCCCCCGCAGTTTTTATCTTTGCCGGTCAGAGCCTCCGCCCTTTGCTCGGGTGCTCTGCCACACTTCGGGCCGCCCGTCGCATCCTCCCTTTTGTTTCTGCTCCCCCTCCCTCCCCCGGGATCCTTTCCCGGGTGGAATTACCGCGTCACACGAGCCCCAGCTCCTCCGCAGCCCCCTCCGCGGCCGGGCCGGCCGTGACCCGCCCCGCCGGTCCCCCGGCAGGTCCTTTTGTCTCCTTTTGTCCTCCCCCCCCCTGAATTATTCACCGGCTGGAAAACCGAGCCCCGAGGGACGTCCCCTTTTGTCCCCTTTGTCCCCTTTCTTTTTCGTGTCTCGCCCCGCAGACGAACCCGCCGTCCTGGAGCCCGAGGAGCTGGACAGGAGAGCGCTGCGATGCGGGGCGGGGCTGGAGCCCGACAGCGTGTCCCTGGCCTCTGTCACCGCTGTCACCACCAACGTGTCCAACAAGAGGTGAGGGCACCCACACACACACCCCCAACCCAGGCAGAGATGAAGGAATTCCTCCCTGTGAGAGGGGGAAAAAGGGCCGGGATGGAATTCCCAGGGGGGCTGTGGCTGCCCCTGCATCCCTGGCAGTGTCCCAGGCTGGGATGGAATTCCCAGGGGAGCTGTGGCTGCCCCTGCATCCCTGGCAGTGTCCCAGGCTGGGATGGAATTCCCAGGAAGCTGTGGCTGCCCCTGCATCCCTGGCAGTGTCCCAGGCTGGGATGGAATTCCCAGGGGAGCTGTGGCTGCCCCTGGATCCCTGGAAGTGTCCCAGGCTGTGGGATGGAATTCCCAGGGGAGCTGTGGCTGCCCCTGCATCCCTGGCAGTGTCCCAGGCTGTGGGATGGAATTCCCAGGGGAGCTGTGGCTGCCCCTGCATCCCTGGCAGTGTCCCAGGCTGGGATGGAATTCCCAGGGGGAGCTGTGGCTGCCCCTGCATCCTGGCAGTGTCCCAGGCTGGGATGGAATTCCCAGGAGCTGTGGCTGGCCTCTGGATCCCTGGCAGTGTCCCAGGCTGGGATGGAATTCCCAGGAGCTGTGGCTGCCCCTGGATCCCTGGCAGTGTCCCAGGCTGAGATGGAATTCCCAGGAAGCTGTGGCTGCCCCTGCATCCCTGGCAGTGTCCCAGGCTGGGATGGAATTCCCAGGGGAGCTGTGGCTGCCCCTGCATCCCTGGCAGTGTCCCAGGCCGGGTTGGATCCCCTGGGATAGCAGGAGGTGTCCCCAGGGGGGTGGGAACCACCCAGCCATTCCCACCCAAACCATTCCACGGGTGAATCCCACCCGTGGTTTGACCGGGGGTCTCTCCCACCCCTCCCCAAAGGTCCAAGCCTGACATCAAGATGGAGCCCAGCGCTGGCAGGCCCATGGATTACCAGGTGGGTGACAAGGGGGTGTCCCCACCCTCGGCCCCTGAGGGGGGGGAGTCACAACCAGGGACCTTCCCCAGGGAATAAATTCGTGCCGGGCTCCAAACGCTGCCCTCTCCAAGCTGGACCTCCCAGGGGCTGGAATTTAAACGGTGGATGGATAAACCCCCAAAAATGAGTTCCCCGTGGTGGGGAGCCCAGCCAAGCCCAAACTGAGCCCCCCCATTTCTCCTTGGAGCAGCCTGGGAGGGTGGGAGGTGGGTGGGTGACCCTCCAGCTCCCTTCCAGCCCAACCCTCTCTGGTTTTCCACCATCCCGCTGTGTTTGGGGCCGAGCTCTGACCCCACAGAAATCCCATGGGGTTTCCCCCGTGCCTGGCAGCCCCCCACGCCCCGGGGCTGAACCCACAGGGGTTTCCCGTGGGATCTCCCCACCCCACACCCCCCAGACCCCTCCCGGCACGGGCTGAGCGGCCCCGGGGATGTCCTGGAGCGACCGGGAGGCCACAGAGCCGCCCCCCCCTGCCCTGAAAACACCTCCAAAGGAGGGGGTGGGGGATGAAATCCGGCCCTGCCGACACCGGGGGGAGGTGAAGATCCCCCCAAATTCCCCCCGTGGCCAGGTCAGCGTCACGGTCATCGAGGCCAGGCAGCTCGTGGGGCTCAACATGGACCCCGTGGTGTGCGTGGAGGTGGGCGAGGAGAAGAAGTTCACGTCCATGAAGGAGTCCACCAACTGCCCCTACTACAACGAGGTGGGGGCCTGCGGGGGGGGGAAAAAGGCGGGGGAGGGGGGCGTTTCCCAGCCCCTGGCACTGCTTCGGGGTTTAACTCCTGCCACGGGGTGAAATCTGGGTGGGAAATGACGCCTTTTGCCCCACCCGGGGGTTCGGGAGGTTTCCCCTCCCCACCCCCCGGGTAATTTACCCTCAGCTTTTCCAAGGGTTTAGAGCTTTCTTTACCCCTCCCCGGGGTGCAGGGGTCGGTGCTGGGGACGCAAGGGCGTGTCCTGGGTGCTGCAGGGATCCCTCCAGCCCCTCTCGGCTCCTCCCGGGGTTTTCCAGCCCCAAGGATCCCTCACGGCTCCTCCTTCCCTTCCAGTACTTTGTCTTCGACTTCCACGTGCCCCCCGACGTCATGTTCGACAAGATCATCAAGCTGTCCGTGAGTGAGAGCCCTCCCCTGCTCCTTTCCCCGGGACCAGGGCAGAAAACAGCCCATTCCGGGGGGGATTTCAGCTCCTGAATTCCCTCAGATCCTGGGAGCACACAGCTCCTGAATACCCTCAGATCCTGGGAGCTCACAGCTCCTGAATTCCCTCAAATCCTGGGAGCTCACAGCTCCTCAGATCCTGGGAGCACACAGCTCCTGAATTCCCTCCAATCCTGAGTGCACACAGCTCTTAAATTCCTTCAAATCCTGGGAGCACACTTCTCCTGAATTCCCTCAGATCCTGGGTATGCACAGCTCCTGAATTCCCACAAATCCTGGGTCCTCACAGCTCCTGAATTCCCTCAAATCCTGGGTGCTCACAGCTCCTGAATTCCCTCCCTGGATGATTCCTGGTGCTCCAGAGCCGGGGAGAACCAAACCCATCGTGGAATGTGTTCATTCCCAGGGAGGACAAAAAAAACACCTCCCTGAGCCTGCGGATTGGGAATTCCCGGGATGTGAGACCTGGCAGAGCTCCTGTGGATTGGGAATTCCCGGGATGTGAGACCTGGCAGAGCTCCTGTGGATTGGAACACCGTGGAAAGCCAGGAGTGGGAATGCTGAGAGGAGAACCCTGCCCACAGCCCGGAGATCTCTGCTCAATTAGGGCACCCTAATTAGTACTCACTGCCCAATTAGGGTACTTTAATTAGGATCCCCCCCATCCATCCCACGAACAGCCCTGGAATTTCTCCCACCAAGGGAACTGGGCCGTGATTTCTGGGCGTCCCAAAGACTTTGCCATCAGGAAACATCCCGGTGTTCCCTGGAAAACGGGATAATCCCAAGAAATCCGAAGATTTATTTCCCAGCACTTTTTCTGCCCAATCCCAACCCAGGAGCTGCCCTTGGAGCCCCCACAGAGGGCCGAGGGGAAGGGATCAGCTCCTTCCCCACCCCACTCTGAGCTGCTCCGGGAAGGGGCCTCTGGAAACAGGGACCCCAGCGGATTCCCGGTCTGGATTTTCCAGGTGATCCACTCCAAGAACCTCCTGCGCAGCGGGACCCTCGTGGGCTCCTTCAAGATGGACGTGGGCACCGTTTACACCCAGCCCGGTAGGGAATCTCTTGGAACCGGCCCCGGGTGGGACCTGCCGGGAATTCCCTCCAGGGGAGCCGGGGAGGGGCTGCTTTCCTTGGGAGGGGCTTTCCCAGTTTGGTGTCCCCGTCCCAGACGTGGACGAGTCACCCGGGCTCCCCCCGGGGCCGGGAAAGGGCTCCCGGCACCGCTGGAGGAGGGGAATTCATGGAATGCCGGGATGCTTTGGATGGGAGGGAACCTTAAATCCCAGCCCGTTCCACGGGCAGGGACAGCTCCCGCTATCCCGGGGGATCCAACCCGGCCTGGGACACTGCAGGGATCCAGGGGCAGCCACAGCTTCCCTGGGAATTCCAGCCCAGCCGGGAATCCCTTCCCAATCTCCCACCCCAATCTCCCCTTTCCCAGTGGGAAGCCATTCCCTGTGTCCTGCCATTCCAGGCCCTGATCCCAAATCCCTCTCCAGCTCTCCTGGAGCCCCTGCAGGCTCTGGAAGGGGCTCCCAGCTCTCCCTGGATCCTTCCCTGCTCCAGCCTGGCCATTCCCAGCTCTCCCAGCCTGGATCCAGAGCCTGACATTGGATCCATGCCCAGCCCAACTCCTCTCTGGGAAGGAGTTCCGGGAACAAGGGGGGGTTCCCTGGGAATCTCGGCACTCAGGGAAGGGTCTCCCCTTCCCCTTTCCTGATCCCAAATCCCTCTCCAGCTCTCCTGGAGCCCCTGCAGGCTCTGGAAGGGGCTCTAAGGTCTGGTTGTCCCCAGAGTCCCCTCCACAGCGTCCCCCCCGCAGTGTCCCTCCCGCAGTGTCCCCTCCCCTGTCCCCTGCCCTGTCCCCTGCCACGTCCCCTGTCCCTCCGTGTCCCCAGAGCACCAGTTCTATCACAAGTGGGCGGCGCTGTCGGACCCCGAGGACCTCACGGCGGGGCTCAAGGGGTACCTCAAGTGCGACGTGGCCGTGGTGGGCAAGGGGGACAACATCAAAACCCCCCACAAGGCCAACGAGACCGAGGAGGACGACATCGAGGGGTGAGGAACCCCCCAGGGGCCCCGGGAGCTCTGGGATGGGGTGGGATACAGGGATGGGATACAGGGATGGGATACAGGGATGGGATGGGAGGGGATGGGATGGGATGGGATGGGATGGGATGGGATGGGATGGGATGGGATGGGATGGGATGGGATGGGATGGGATGGGATGGGATGGGATGGGATGCAGGGATGGGATGGGATGGGATGGGATGGGATGGGATGGGATGGGGTGGGATGGGATGGGATGGGATGGGATGGGATGGGATGGGATGGGATGGGATGGGGTGGGATGGGATGCGGGATGGGATTGGATGGGATGGGATGGGGTGGGATGGGATGGGATGGGATGGGATGGGATGGGATGGGATGGGATGCAGGGATGGGATGGGATGGGGTGGGATGGGATGGGATGGGATGGGGTGGGGTGGGATGGGATGGGATACAGGGATGGGATGGGATGGGATGGGATGGGATGGGATGGGATGGGATGGGATGGGATGGGATGGGAGGGGATGGGATGGGATGGGATGGGATGGGATGGGAGGGGATGGGATGGGATGGGAGGGGATGGGATGGGATGGGATGGGATGGGATGGGATGGGATGGGATACAGGGATGGGATGGGATGGGATGGGATGAGATGGGATGGGATGGGATGGGATGGGGTCTCATCACCCACTGGAAGAGCAGAGGGAGGTCTGGATGAGCTTCTTCTCAGGCTCCACGTGGGAAGGGCCCTCTGACTCCCCAGAACACCCCAAAGGAAGGAACAAAACCCCCAGAAAAAACAAACCAACAAACAACCAAATAACCCAAAAAACAAATCCTGAACCAAAACTCAGGAGACTTTCAGAGCTGCTTCCAGCCCCAGAACGCTCCAGGGCCATTAGAACACCCCCAAGGGCAAACAGAGCCTTTCCACTCTGCCCCTCAGCCTCTCCCCCCGTGGAATCCTGGAATTGCTCAGGTTGGGAATGTCCTCTAAGATCCAGTCAAACCATGAACTATCACAAACCCAAACCAGCAGCAAAAATCACCAGCCCAGCTCTCCTGAGGGCTGGGGGGCTCCAGGCACCCCCTGGACTGTTTGGGGCCACCTTTCCATGCCCTGGTGGGGGTGTTATCCCACTTTTTCTTGGAATGGAAGGACGGTTTGGGTGGGAGGGGATCCCAAAGTTCACGCAGCTCCAGAGGGCGCCTTCCACCAGCCACAGGCAGCTCCAGGAATTCCTCTGGAACAAACTTCACCCCCAGCCTCTCCCTGGGCCCTTTTTCCTCCCCCAGGAGGAGACAAACCCACCCCTGCCATAAACCCAGACTGGGGGGGTTTATTCCTTCCCCCCAAAACAACGCCCTAGGAAGGAAAAGGAGACTCCCCATGTCCCACCCACTCCATAGGAGGGAAAAGGAGACTCTCCCAACATTCCCACCCTCTCCATAGGAGGGAGAAGGAGACTCTCCCAACATTCCCACCCACTCCATAGGAGGGAAAAGGGGACTCTCCCAGTGTCCCACCCACTCCAGGGGAGGGAGAAGGAGACTCTCCCAACATTCCCACCCTCTCCATAGGAGGGAAAAGGAGACTCTCCCAACATTCCCACCCGCTCCATAGGAGGGAAAAGGAGACTCTCCCAATGTCCCACCTGCTCCAGGGGAGGGAAAAGGAGACTCTCCCAATGCCCCACCTGCTCCATAGGAGGGAAAAGGAGACTCTCCCAACACCCCAGAGGGCGCCTTCCACCAGCCCTGGGCAGCTCCAGGAATTCCTCTGGAACAAACTTCACCCCCAGCCCCTTTTCTGCCCTGGGAGGAGACAAACCCACCCCTGCCATAAACCCAGACCGGGGGGGTTTATTCCTTCCCCTAAAACAACCCCTAGGAGGGAAAAGGAGACTCTCCCAATGTCCCACCTGCTCCAGGGGATGGAAAAGGAGACTCTCCCAACATTTCCACCCGCTCCATAGGAGGGAAAAGGAGACTCTCCCAACATTCCCACCTGCTCCAGGGAGGGAGAAGGAGACTCTCCCAACATTCCCACCCTCTCCATAGGAAGGAAAAGGAGACTCTCCCAACATTCCCACCCTCTCCATAGGAGGGAAAAGGAGACTCTCCCAACATTCCCACCCTCTCCATAGGAGGGAAAAGGAGACTCTACCAACATTCCCACCCACTCCAGGGGAGGGAAAAGGAGACTGTCCCAACATTCCCACCCTCTCCATAGGAGGGAAAAGGAGACTCCCAATTCCCACCCACTCCAGGGGAGGGAAAAGGAGACTGTCCCAACATTCCCACCCTCTCCATAGGAGGGAGAAGGAGACTCTCCCAACATTCCCACCCTCTCCATAGGAGGGAAAAGGAGACTCTCCCAACATTCCCACCTGCTCCAGGGGAAGGAAAAGGGGACTCTCCCAATGTCCCACCTGCTCCAGAGGAGGGAGAAGGAGACTCTCCCCAAACCCCACCCGCTCCATAGGAGGGAGAAGGAGACTCTCCCAACATTCCCACCCTCTCCATGGGAGGGAAAAGGGGACTCTCCCAATGTCCCACCCTCTCCATAGGAGGGAGAAGGAGACTCTCCCAACACCCCAGAGGGCACCTTCCACCAGCCCTGGGCAGCTCCAGGAATTCCTCTGGAACAAACTTCACCCCCAGCCTCCCCCTGGGCCCTTTTTCCCCCCCCCAGGAGGAGACAAACCCACCCCTGCCATAAACCCAGACTGGGGGGGTTTATTCCTTCCCCCAAAACAACCCCCTAGGAGGGAAAAAGGGACTCTCCCAACATTCCCACCTGCTCCATAGGAGGGAAAAGGAGACTCTCCCAACATTCCCACCCTCTCCAGGGGAGGGAGAAGGAGACTCTCCCCAAATCCCACCCTCTCCATAGGAGGGAAAAGGAGACTGTTCCAACATTCCCACCCTCTCCATAGGAGGGAAAAGGAGACTGTCCCAACATTCCCACCCTCTCCATAGGAGGGAGAAGGAGACTCTCCCAACATTCCCACCTGCTCCATAGGAGGGAGAAGGAGACTCTCCCAACATTCCCACCCGCTCCAGGGGAGGGAAAAGGGGACTCTCCCAACATTCCCACCTGCTCCATAAGAGGGAGAAGGAGACTCTCCCAACATTCCCACCCTCTCCAGGGGAGGGAGAAGGAGACTCTCCCAACATTCCCACCCTCTCCATAGGAGGGAAAATAGGACTCTCCCAACAGTCCCACCCTCTTCATTTCCCCGGGGTCACCGCTCGGGGAGTGTTGGGGGGGACCCCTCTCTAACAACTCTTTCTGTGGGGGTCCCCCCAAGGCTGGAGAAGCCCTCCAGGGGTTTCTTTAGCCCCCCATTCTCCCCCCGTGCCGTGCCAGGAACCTGCTGCTGCCCGAGGGGGTGCCGGCCGAGCGCCAGTGGGCCCGGTTCTACGTGCGCGTGTTCCGCGCCGAGGGGCTGCCCAGGATGAACACCAGCATCATGGCCAACGTCAAGAAGGCCCTCATCGGGGACAACAAGGACCTGGTGGACCCCTACGTGCAGGTGGTGTTTGCGGGACAGAAGGTGAGCGAGGAGGGAGGGGGAGGGGGGGCACACACGGGCGGGGCTGGCCGTGTGAGGGGAGGATTGGGCGTCCTGGAGGTGATGAGGGGTGTGTGGTGTTCCCTGGGTTGAATTGGATGTCCTGGAGGTGACGAGGGGTGTGTGGTGTCCCCTGGGTTGTCCTGGACATGCTGAGGACTGTGGGGTGTCACCTTGTTTGAACTGGGTTGTCCTGGTGTTGAGCTGTGTGTGGTGTCCCCTGGATTGTCCTGATGTTGAGGGGTGTGTGGTGTTCCCTGGGTTGAATTGGATGTCCTGGAGGTGATGAGGGGTGTGTGGTGTCCCCTGGGTTGTCCTGGACATGCTGAGCTGGGTGTGTGGTGTCCCCTGGTTTGAACTGGGTTGTCCTGGTGCTGAGCTGGGTGTGGTGTCCCCTGGGTTGTCCTGGAGATGTTGAGGGGTGTGTGCTGTCCCCTGGTTGGCCTGGTTGTCCTGGAGATGCTGAGCTCTGTGTGGTGTCCCCTGGTTTCAATTGGTTGTCCTGATGCTGAGCTGTGTGTGGTGTCCCCTGGTTTGAATTGGTTGTCCTTGGAGATGTTGAGGTGTGTGTGGTGTCCCCTGGTTTGCCTGTGTTGGAGATGTTGAGCTGTGTGTGGTGTCTCCTGGGTTGAATTGGTTGTCCTGGGGATGTTGAGGTGTGTGTGGTGTCCCCTGGGTTGTCCTGTGTTGGAGATGCTGAGCTGTGTGTGGTGTCACCTTCTTATCCTTGGTCATCCTGGAGGTGCTGAGGGGTGTGTGGTGTCATTTTTTTATCCTTGGTTGTCCTGATGTTGAGGGGTGTGTGGTGTCCCCTGGTTGGCTTGGGTTGTCCTGGAGATGTTGAGGGGTGTGTTGTGTCACTTGGGTTGTCCTGATGCTGAGCTGTGTGTGGTGTCCCCTGGATTTCCACGTCTCCCCTGGCTGGGAATGGTGGTTGGATGGTCCTGGGGGTGTCCTGGGACACCCAACCTGGGGTGGCTGGAGGGTCCCAGGGTGGCTGGAGGGTCCCAGGGTGGCTGGATGGTCCTGGGGGTGCCCTGGGACACCCAACCAGCCCAAGATCCATCTTTCCCCCCCCTGCCAGGGCAAGACCTCAATCCAGAAGAGCAGCTACGAGCCCGTGTGGAACGAGCAGATCGTGTTCACCGAGATGTTCCCCCCCCTGTGCAAGAGGATCAAGGTCCAGATCCGGGACTCGGACAAGGTCAACGACGTGGCCATCGGGACCCACTTCATCGACCTGAGGAAGATCTCCAACGAGGGGGACAAGGGTGAAGCTGGGCTGGCCTGGGCGGTGCTGGGGGGGGTTTGGACTCAGGGATTTTCCACCCTGAGCCATCCCTAAGGATTCTGTGCCATCCTGGCACTGTCCCAGCTCTCCACAATTCCCCAGCAGGAAGTCTCAGGAAGTGGAGGGTCCCCAATTCCCAGGGAACAGGGCCAGGAGGAGAGGGAACAGCCTCCAGCTGGGCCAGGGGAGGGGCAGGGGGGCATCAGGAGGAATTTGTCCCTGGAAAGGGTGGTCAGGCACTGGCAGGGGCTGCCCAGGGAGGTTTGGAGTGCCCAGCCCTGGAGGTGTCCCAGGCAGGCACTCAGTGCTCTGGGCTGGGGGACAGGGTGGGGATGGGCACAGGGGGGATCCACGGGCTGGGAGGGCTTTTCCCACCTGGATAATCCCTTGGGAGCTGTTCCCAGGGGTGGCTGCATCCACGGACACCCCCAGGGCGCGTTCCAGCCCCTGTCCCCACACACAGACCCGGGCAGGGACCCCAACCCGGGCGCTCCTGCCCCGATCCCCAGGCACACCCTTCTCCCGGAGCATCCACGCCCATTCCACGCCCATCCCATGCCCCGCAGGCTTCCTGCCCACCTTCGGCCCCGCCTGGGTGAACATGTACGGCTCCACCCGCAACTACACCCTGATGGACGAGCACCAGGAGCTCAACGAGGGGCTGGGCGAGGGCGTCTCGTTCCGGGCGCGGCTCCTGCTGGGGCTCTCGGTGGAGATCCTGGACACCACCAACCCCGAGATCAACAGCTCCACCGAGGTGCAGGTGGAGCAGGCGCCGGCCCCGCCCGAGGTCAGTCCTGCCCCGGCTTTTGTGGGGGGGGGATCTCTGCTCCTTCCAGCGCTCGCGTTCCTCGGGAATTCCAGGCAGAAGGAATGTTTGAGCGCGGGTTAAATCCCAGGGGGGCTGCGGCTGCCCCTGGATCCCTGGGAATGTCCCAGGGAGGGTTGGAGCCAGCTGGGATAGCGAGAGGTGTCCCTGCAGGGTTTGGGACGGGGAGGGGATGAGCTTTAAGATCCCATTCCAGCCCCGACCACCCCGTGGTTCCTGTGACCTCCTGAGCCCTGAGGTGCTGGGGGGTGGACAGGGACAAGGAGCCACCTCCTGGTCTCAAAGAGAAGCCAAGAACTCCCTCTGATTCCCAGCCAGGGGGAACGATTTGGGTGGTTTGGTTAATCCACCTCCCGACCCAACTGCTGGCCGTGCCCCTGGGCAGTCCCTCGCCTGCAAGGGCTGGCTGGAAGGTTGCCTTTGATCAGGAGGTTTTTTTCCAGCGAAATCCTTGATTAAACCCTCTGGAATGAGCCAGGAGACGGGGAGAGAGAACCCCGGTGGTGCCCCCGGAGTGCCAGGAGTGGCTCCTCCCCCCCCCCAATCCCTGTGACCTCTCCCTCCCTCAGAACTGCACCGGGAAGATGGAGGAATTCTTCCTCTTCGGGGCCTTCCTGGAGGCCACCATGATCGACAGGAGGATCGGGGACAAGCCCATCCACTTCGAGGTCACCATAGGTGTGTGGGGTTTTGGTTTTTGGGGGTGGAGGGGGGTTGGTCTGAGGCCTGGCTGGAGGGAAGGGCGGGATCTGAAGCTGACAGGGGGTCGTTCTTCCCAGTTTTCCAGACTTGTCCCAGACTGAACTAAAACTTCTTCCAAACTGAATGAAAACTTGTTCCAAACTGAAATAAAACTTGTTGACTGAACTAAAACTTGTCCCAAACTGAGTTAAAACTTGTCCCAGACTGAGTTAAAACTTGTCCAAAACTGAATGAAAACTTGTCCCAGACTGAACTAAAACTTTTTCCAAACTGAATTAAAACTTGTCCCAAACTAAGCTAAAACTTATCCCAAACTGAACTAGAACTTGTCCAAACTGAATTAAAACTTGTCCCAAACTGAGTTTAGAACTTGTCCCAAACTGAACTACAACTTGTCCCAGACTGAAATAAAACTTGTTGACTGAACTAAAACTTGTCCCAAACCGAACTAGAACTTGTCCCAGACTGAGTTTAGAACTTTTCCCAAACTGAACTAAAACTTTTTTCCGAACTGAATTAAAACTTGTTCCAAACTGAAATTAAACTTCTGTAAACTGAAATAAAACTTGTTGACTGAACTAAAACTTGTCCCAAACTGAAATGAAACTTGTCCCAAACTGAACTAAACCTTTTCCCAGAGCGAACTAAAACTTTTTCCAAACTGAATTAATACTTGTTCCAGACTGAAATAAAACTTTTCCCAGACTGAACTAGAACTTGTCCAAACTGAACTAGAACTTATCCCAAACTGAAATTAAACTTCTCCCAAACTGAAATAAAACTTGTTGACTGAACTAAAACTTGTCCCAAAGTGAGTTAAAACTTGTCCAAAACTGAATGAAAACTTGTCCCAAACTGAGTTTAAAACTTTTTTCCAAACTGAATTAAAACTTGTTCCAAACTGAAATGAAACTTGTCCCAAACTGAAATAAAACTTGTTGACTGAACTAAAACTTGTCCCAAACTGAGTTTAAAACTTGTCCCAAACTGAGTTTAAAACTTGTCCCAAACTGAGTTTAAAACTTGTCCCAAACTGAGTTAAAACTTGTCCAAGACTGAAATAAAACTTGTCCCAAACTGAACTAGAACTTGTCCCAAACTGAATTACAACTTGTCCCAAACCGAATTAAAGCTTGTTGACTGAACTAAAACTTGTCCCAAACTGAGTTAAAACTTGTCCCAAACTGAACTAAAATTTTTCCCAAACTGAACTAGAACTTGTTCCAAACTGAAATTAAACTTCTCCCAAACTGAAATAAAACTTGTTGACTGAACTAAAACTTGTCCCAAACTGAGTTAAAACTTATCCCAAACTGAACTAGAACTTGTCCCAGACTGAGTTAAAACTTGTCCCAAACTGAGTTTAGAACCTGTCCCAGACTGCCCCAAGCCGCAGCCCCCGAGCCCTGCCGGAGCTCCGGCCCCGTGAATTTTATTCCCCCTCCGTTCTTTCCCTTCCCTCGAGGTAACTACGGCAACCAGGCGGACGGGGCGGGCAAGCCGGGCCCGAGGAGGAGGAAGGAGGGCGCGGACGGGGCCGAGGAGGAGGCGGAGCTGCTGCAGAATTCCAGCGAGGACGAGGGCGACGAGGACGGGGAGCTGGTCTCTGTCTCTGCCTCTCCGCCCATGAAGCCCCTGGTCACCGACAGGTCCGTGCGTCCCCCTGGGCATTCCCAGTGTCCCAGGAAGAGGGAATTCTCCTCCCAGGACACCCTGCAGAGGACATCCTGCATTCCCCCCGGGTGGGCCGGGACAGGGACAGCATTCCCAGGACAGGGACAGCACCTTTGAGAAAAGGACAGCAACCCCCGGGACAGGGACAGCACCTTTGGGGCAGGGACAGCACCTTTGGGACAGAGACAGCACCTTTGAGACAGGGACAGCAACCCCAGGACAGGGACAGCACTTACTGAGACAGGCACAGCACCCTTGGGACAGGGACAGCACCCCAGGGACAGGGACAGCATTTCTGAGACAGGGACAGCATTTCTGAGACAGGGACAGCACCCCCGGGACAGGGACAGCAATCCCGGGACAGGGACAGCACCTCTGGGACAGGGACAGCACCTTTGGGACAGGGACAGCACCCTCGGAACAGGGACAGCACCCACTGAGACAGGGACAGCACCACTGAGACTGGGACAGCACCCCTGGGACAGGGACAGCACCTTTGGGACAGGGACAGCACTTACTGAGACAGGGACAGCATTTCTGAGACAGGGACAGCACCCTCGAAACAGGGACAGCACTTACTGAGACAGGGACAGCATTTCTGAGACAGGGACAGCACCCCCGGGAGAGGGACAGCACCCCTGGGACAGGGACAGCACCTTTGGGGCAGGGACAGAGACAGTCTTGGAGAACCCGGCCTGGCGGGAGGTTTTGGAATCCCGGAGTGGTTCGGGTGGGAAGGGACCTTAAATTAATGCAGCCTCACCCCCTGCCACGGGCAGGGACTCCTCCCACCCTCCCAGGTTGCTCCAGCCTGGCCTCGGACGCTTAAATTAAAAACAACCTGAGCTGCTGCTTGAACAGCCTTTGCCTCAGCTCTCTGGGCTGCGTCTGCACATCCTGCTGTTACGGGACCCATCAACCACCTCTGCACCTAAAATGCACCTTCACCTCATCCGTGGGGGTGCAACTCCCCCTGCAGCTGCACGGGTTGCTGACCCCCCCCGGAATTTTCACCCCCTGGTTTTCCCAGCAGTTCTCCGGGGCGAAGCTGCAAAATTTATGAGCAGTCAAAAAAATAAATAAAATTAAAAAAAAAAAAAAAAACACAAAAAACACACACAAAAAAAAACCAAAACACAAAAAAACCCAAAAAAACAAAACAAAACAAACAAAAAAAAAACCAAACAAAAAAAACCAAAAAAAACACAAACCAAACCAAAACAACAACAAAAAAAAAAAAAAAAAAAAAAAAAAAAAAAAAAAAAAACCAACGAAATAAACTCATCAGGTTTTGGGGTTTTTTTCCAGGCTGCAAACCCCCCCTCACGGCTCCCCTCTCGCCCCGCAGGAACTACTTCCACCTGCCCTACCTGGAGAGGAAGCCCTGCGTGTACATCAGGAGCTGGTGGCAGGACCAGCGGCGCCGGCTCTACAACGCCAACATCATGGACAAGATCGCCGACAAGCTGGTCAGTGGGGGGACAGGGGGACAGGGAAGGGCAGGGGGACAGGACAGGGACACGGGGCACCCTCCTTGGGCACACAGAGGGGAAAGGAGGTGAGGACACAGCTGGGCTGGGAACGGGGAGGGCCCCAAATCCCGGGAGGTCCTCGGGGCCTCTGGGGGTCACAACCCGGTGTCCCCAATCCTCGGGGGTCACAGCCCGGTGTCCCCAGTCCTTGGGGGTCACAACCCACTGTCCCCAATCCTTGGGGGTCACAACCCACTGTCCCCAATCCCTGGGGGTCTCTAGGGGTCACAGCCTGGTGTCCCCAATCCTCAGGGGTCACAGCTTGGTGTTCCCAATCCTTGGGGTTCAGAGGCCCCTGTCCCCAGTCCTTGGGGGTCACAGCCCAGTGTCCCCAATCCCTGGGGGTCTCTGGGTGTCACAGCCCAGTGTTCCCAGTCCTTGGGGGTCACAGCCCCCTGTCCCCAATCCTTGGGGGTCACAACCCACTGTCCCCAATCCTCAAGGGTCACAGCCCAATGTTCCCAGTCTTTGGGGGTCACAGCCCACTGTCCCCAGTCCTTGGGGGTCACAGCCCCCTGTCCCCAGTCCTTGGGGGTCACAGCCCCTGTCCCCAGGGGAGGGCTCGGGGTGGGCACACTTTGTCACCAGGGCTGGAGGGGTGACCCGCTCATGTGGCACAGCCTGGAGAAGGGAAGGATCCAGGGAGAGCTTGGAGAGCCTCCCAGAGCCTGCAGGGGCTCCAGGAGAGCTGGAGAGGGACTGGGGACAAGGAATGGAGGGACAGGACACAGGGAATGGCTTCCCACTGCCAGAGGGCGGGGACAGATGGGAGATTGGGAAGGGATTCCCGGCTGGGAGGGTGGGGAGGGGCTGGGCTGGAATTCCCAGGGAAGCTGTGGCTGCCCCTGGATCCCTGGGGTGTCCCAGGCCGGGTTGGATCCCCCTGGGATGGTGGGAGGTGTCCCTGCCCATGGCAGGGGGGTTGGGGCCTCTCCCAGCTCCTCCCGTGGGGCTTTTCCCATCGCCCCGAGCCGGGGCCGGAGCCGATCCCGGGGGATCCCGGCCCGTTGGAGCAGCGGGTGCTTCCCTGGCTGGGGGGGTTGGGCTCAGGGGGTCTCTGTGCCCCCGGGGGGGTCCGTGCCCCCCTCCCCAGCCCCGGTGGTGCCGCAGGAGGAAGGACTCAACGACGTGCACGAGATGATCAAGACGGAGAAGCCGCACCCGGAGCGGCGGCTCCGGGGGGTCCTGGAGGAGCTCGGCGGGGGCTGCCTGTGAGTCACTCGGGCAGGGGGGGCACGGGGAAGGTGCCCCCTCCCCGGGGGTGTCAGCTCAGCCTGCCTGGTCCCTGGGATGAGGGGACACCCTTCCCTGCCCCCCTTCCCTGTCCCCTTCCCTGTCCCCCTTCCCTGTCCCCATCCCTGTCCCCTCTGTCCCCTTCCCCTGTCCCCTGTCCTCCCTTCCCTGTCCCCATCCCTGTCCCCTTCCCTGTCCCCCTTCCCTGTCCCCTTTCCCTGTCCCCTTTCCCTGTCCCCTTTCCCTGTCCCTCTTCCCTGTCCCCTTTCCCTGTCCCCTTTCCCTGTCCCCTTTCCCTGTCCCCCTTCCCTGTCCCCTTTCCCCATCCCCTTCCCTGTCCCCCTTCCCTGTATCCCTCCCTGTATTCCAGGGGTTTCCCATGGAATCACACCCAGAAATGCCCCGGGGAGGGGTTTCCCCATGGAATCACATCCAGAGATGCCCCGGGGAGGGGTTTCCCATGGAATCACATCCCAGCCTTTCCAGAGATGCCCCGGGCAGGGTTTTCCCATGGAATCACATCCAGAAATGCCCTGGGCAGGGGTTTCCCATGGAATCACATCCAGAGCTGCCCCGGGCAGGGTTTCCCATGGAATCACATCCAGAGATGCCCCGGGCAGGGTTTCCCATGGAATCACACCCAGAGATGCCCTGGGGAGGGGTTTCCCATGGAATCACATCCAGAGCTGCCCCGGGGAGGGTTTCCCATGGAATCACATCCAGAGCTGCCCCGGGCAGGGTTTCCCATGGAATCACACCCAGAAATGCCCCGGGGAGGGATTCCCATGGAATCACATCCCATGGAATCACCTCCCGGCCTTTCCCGCAGGCGTTTCGTGGCCCTGGCCGAGCGGGAGCAGCCGCACTCGGCGCGCACTCGGCTGGACAGGGAGAGGCTCCGCTCCTGCTCCAGGGAGCTGGTGAGGGGCACCCGGGGCTGGGGGCACGGGCTGGGGGCACGGGACACAGGGGGGCAGGGACAGATGGGATTTTGGGAAGGGATTCCCGGCTGGGAGGATGGGGGTGGGGGCCGGGCTGGAATTCCCGGGGGAGCTGTGGGAGCAGCGGGCGGGGAGGGGAGGGGGATTCATGGGCAGGACATTCCAAGGGTTTGGGGTTTGATTCTGAGCAGAGGAGCCCGGAGACCACCCGGGTCCTTCAGAGGCTTCTGCTCTGCTGCTGCTGCTGCCCCTCATCCACACCCTGGGAAGAAACTGGGGAGCAGGGGGAGCTGTGTCACCCCCTCAGCTGGGGACAGAGCAGGGGGAGCTGTGTCACCCCCTCAGCTGGGGACAGAGCAGGGGAGCTGTGTCACCCCCTCAGCTGGGGACAGAGCAGGGGAGCTGTGTCACCACCAGACAGCTGGGGACAGAGCAGGGGGGCACACAGCACAAGGGGGGACCCCAGGCTGGAGCCCCAGCTGTCCCATGTCCCCACACCCTGGCTGTCCCTGTCCCCATACCCTGTCTGTCCTATGTCCCCATACCCCGTCTGTCCATGTCCCCACGGCCCAGCTGTCCCTGTCCCCACACCCTGTCTCTCGTGTCCCCACACCCTGGCTGTCCCACACCCTGGCCATCCATGTCCCCAAGCCCTGGCTGTGGGTGTCCCTATGCCCTGTCTGTCCATGTCCCCATACCCTGTCTGTGGCTGTCCCCACGCCCTGTCTGTGTCCCCACGCCCTGTGGGTGTCCCCACGCCCCTCTGCTGTGTCCCCAGGAGGCGATGGCGCAGCAGGCGCGGGCGCTGCGGCAGCAGGTGAAGAGGAACTCGGTGAAGGAGAAGCTGAAGCTGGTGCAGAACTTCCTGCACAAGCTGCGCTTCCTGGCCGACGAGGTGGGTCCTGCAGGGGCTGGGGGGAGATCCCCCTGCTGTGGGGCAGGAGAGAGCCCTGGGAGCATCCCCGAGCCCACCACGGGAGCATCCCCAATTCCCCCATGGGAACATCCCTGACCCCCCCCCGGGAGCATCCCTGAGCCCCCCACGGGAGCATCCCTGAGCCCCCCACGGGAGCATCCCTGAGCCCCCCCTGGGAGCATCCCCAATTCCCCCCTGGGAGCATCCGCATCCACAATTCCCCATGGAGCATCCCTGACCCGTGGAGCATCCCGACCCCAGGAGCATCCCTGACCCCCACAGGAGCATCCTGAGCCCCCTGGGAGCATCCCGAGCCCCCTGGAGCATCCTGAGCCCCCCATGGGAGCATCCCCAATTCCCCATGGGAGCATCCCTGAGCCCCCCTGGGAGCATCTCCTGAGCCCCCATGGAGCATCCCGAGACTCCCCATGGGAGCATCCCGACTCCCCGTGAGCATCTCTGAGCCCCCACGGGAACATCCCCAATTCCCCACGGGAGCATCCCCGACTCCCCACTGGGAGCATCCCTGAGCCCCTGGGAGCATCCTGAGACCCCTGTGAGCATCCCCAAGACCCCCCTGCAAACATCCCTGAGCCCCCCATGGGAGCATCCCCGACCCCCCATGGGATCATCCCTGATCCCACCCTGGGATCACCCCCGAGCCCCCCACGGGAGCATCCCCCCGAGCTGAGGGGTCCCTGGGGTGCCCCCGCAGCCCCAGCACAGCATTCCCGACGTGTTCGTGTGGATGATGAGCAACAACAAGCGCGTGGCCTACGCCCGCATCCCCTCCAAGGACCTGCTGCACTCCCTGGTGGACGAGGAGATGGGCAAGGACTGCGCCAAGGTCAAGACGGTCTTCCTAAAGGTACTGACCCGCCCTGCCGGGGGGGGCTGCAGCACGAGGGGCGGCTGGAGGGGGCACAGAGCGGCAGGATGGGAGGTGGGGATGGGACAGTGGAGGGAGATGGGGATGGGACAGTGGAGTGAGATGGGGAGGGGACAGTGGAGCAGGATGGGAGATGGGGACAGTGGAGCAGGATGGGAGGTGGGGACAGTGGAGCAGGATGGGAGGTGGGGATGGGACAGTGGAGCAGGATGGGAGATGGGGACGGGACAGTGGAGTGAGATGGGAGATGGGGACAGTGGAGCAGGACGGGAGATGGGGATGGGACAGTGGAGCAGGATGGGAGGTGGGGATGGGACAGTGGAGCAGGATGGGAGATGGGGACAGTGGAGTGAGATGGGAGATGGGGACAGTGGAGCAGGATGGGAGGTGGGGATGGGACAGTGGAGAAGGATGGGAGATGGGGACAGTGGAGCAGGATGGGATGGGACAGTGGAGCAGGATGGGAGAGGGGGACGGGACAGTGGGAGGAGATGGGGACGGGACAGTGGAGCAGGATGGGAGATGGGGACGGGACAGTGGAGCAGGATGGGAGATGGGGATGGGACAGTGGAGCAGGATGGGAGATGGGGACGGGACAGTGGAGAGGGATGGGAGATGGGGATGGGACAGTGGAGCAGGATGGGGACGGGACAGTGGAGGGAGGATGGGGATGGGACAGTGGAGCAGGATGGGAGGTGGGGATGGGACAGTGGAGCAGGATGGGAGGGACAGTGGAGCAGGATGGGGATGGGACAGTGGAGCAGGATGGGAGATGGGGATGGACAGTGGAGCAGGATGGGAGATGGGGATGGGACAGTGAGGAGATGGGAGATGGGGATGGGACAGTGGAGCAGGATGGGAGGTGGGGATGGGACAGTGGAGCAGGATGGGAGGTGGGGATGGGACAGTGGAGCAGGGTGGGAGATGGGGATGGGACATTGGAGCAGGATGGGAGATGGGGATGGGACAGTGGAGGGAGATGGGGACGGGACAGTGGAGCAGGATGGGGATGGGACAGTGGAGCAGATGGGATGGGACAGTGGAGAGATGGGGACGGGACAGTGGAGCAGGATGGGAGATGGGGACGGGACAGTGGAGGGAGATGGGGATGGGACAGTGGAGCAGGATGGGAGGTGGGGATGGGACAGTGGAGCAGGATGGGAGATGGGATGGGACAGTGGAGTGAGATGGGAGATGGAGATGGGACAGTGGAGCAGAGATGGGGACGGGACAGTGGAGCAGATGGGAGATGGGGATGGGACAGTGGAGCAGGATGGGAGGTGGGGATGGGACAGTGGAGCAGATGGGGAGACAGTGGAGCAGATGGGGATGGGATGGGACAGTGGAGCAGGATGGGAGATGGGGATGGGACAGTGGAGCAGGATGGGGACGGGACAGTGGAGGGAGATGGGAGATGGGGATGGGACAGTGGAGCAGGACGGGAGGTGGGGATGGGACAGTGGAGCAGGATGGGAGGTGGGGATGGGACAGTGGAGGGAGATGGGAGGTGGGGATGGGACAGTGGAGGGAGATGGGGATGGGACAGTGGAGCAGGATGGGAGATGGGGATGGGACAGTGGAGGGAGATGGGGATGGGACAGTGGAGTGAGATGGGAAGTGGGGATGGGACAGTGGAGTGAGATGGGGACAGGACAGTGGAGCAGGATGGGAGATGGGGATGGGACAGTGGAGTGAGATGGGGACGGGACAGTGGAGCAGGATGGGAGGTGGGGATGGGACAGTGGAGCAGGATGGGAGATGGGGACGGGACAGTGGAGCAGGACGGGAGATGGGATGGACAGTGAGCAGGATGGGAGATGGGGGCAGGACAGTGAGTGGATGGGAGATGGGGACAGTGGAGCAGGATGGGGATGGGACAGTGGAGCAGGATGGGAGGTGGGGATGGGACAGTGGAGCAGGATGGGAGGTAGGGATGGGACAGTGGAGGGAGATGGGAGGTGGGGATAGGATAGTGGAGGAGATGGGGATGGGACAGTGAGCAGGATGGAGAGATGAGGACAGTGGAGGGAGATGGGGACGGGACAGTGGAGCAGGATGGGGACGGGACAGTGGAGCAGGATGGGGACGGGACAGTGGAGCAGGATGGGGATGGGACAGTGGAGTAGGATGGGAGATGGGGACGGGACAGTGGAGCAGGATGGGGACGGGACAGTGGAGAAGGATGGGAGATGGGGACGGGACAGTGGAGAAAGATGGGAGATGGGACAGTGGAGCAGGATGGGAGGTGGGGACAGTGGAGCAGGATGGGAGATGGGGACGGGACAGTGGAGTGAGATGGGGACAGGACAGTGGAGTGAGATGGGGACGGGACAGTGGAGTGAGATGGGGACGGGACAGTGGAGCAGGATGGGAGATGGGGACGGGACAGTGGAGCAGGATGGGAGATGGGGACGGGACAGTGGAGTGAGATGGGGACGGGACAGTGGAGTGTCCGCTCCTCCCTGGGCTGGAGCATCGTCCCCATCCCACCCACGCTCTGCCGGTGCTGCCCAGGGCTGTGAGCCCCATCCAGCTCGGGGGGAGGTGTTTGACCCAGCTGGCCACGAAAGGTTTGGGGTTTCTGGCTTGGAAGAGGAAGCCACGGGGGGGGGAAGCAGAGAATTCCCGAGCCAAGGATGCCCAAGGATGAGGGCCGGGCTCCCTGGTCCTGCCCAGCCCTGGTTTTAAGGGGCAGGCAGCAGAGGAGAGGGAGGCTCCGGGAGGTGTCCCAGGAGCCCCCCAGACTCCCTGTGAGCTCACACCCCCCTGGTGCCCAGCTGCCCGGGAAGAGGGGCTTCGGCCCCGCCGGCTGGACCGTGCAGGCCAAGATGGAGATTTACCTGTGGCTGGGCCTCAACAAGCAGCGCAAGGACTTCCTGAGCGGCCTCCCCTGCGGCTTCGAGGAGAAGAAAAGCCCCCGGGGCCAAAACCTGCCCTCCTTCCCCCCCCTCAGCCTCCTCTACACCAGTAAGGGCTCCCCCTGACCACCCCAACCCCAGCTCGGGATGGGGCGTGGGGAGGGACAGACCTCCAAGAGGCCCCCCCAAATCCTGCATCCAGGCCGTCCCCCAACCCCTCGTGCCCGCTGTGCCCCGCAGAGAAGCAGGTGTTCCAGCTGAGGGCTCACATGTACCAGGCCAGGAGCCTGTTCGCCGCCGACAGCAGCGGCCTCTCCGACCCTTCGCTCGAGTGTTCTTCATCTCCCACAGCCAGTGCACCGAGGTGAGGGCAGAGCGGGGGGATGTGGGGTGGGGGTGGGGGTGGGGGGTGGGAGGATGGAGGGATGAAGGGTTGGAGGGTTGGAAGGATGGAGGGGAGGAAGGATGGAGGGGTGGAGAGGTAGGGGATGGAAGGATGGAGGGGTGGGAGGATGGAGGGGTGGAGGGTGGAGGGATGGGGAGGTGGAAGGATGGAGGGGTGGAAGGATGGAGGATGGAAGGATGGAAGGATGGAGGGTAGGGGAATGGAAGGATGGAGGGGTGGGAGGATGGAGGGATGGAGGGTGGAGGGATGGAGGGGTGGAAGAATGGGGGGGGATGGAGGGATGGGGAGATGGCAGGATGGAGGGGTGGGAGGATGGAGGGATGGAGGGGAGAAGGGGTAGGGGAATGGAAGGATGGAGGAGTGGAAGGATGGAGGGATGGGGAGACAGAAGGATGGACAAGTGGAAGGATGGAGGGATGGAAGGATGGACGGGTGGAAGGATGGAGGGATGGAGGGATGGAGGGATAGAGGAATGGAGGGATGGAGGGGTGGAAGGATGGAGGGATGGAAGGATGGAGGGATGGAAGGATGGAAAGGTGGAAGGATGGAGGAGTGGAAGGATGGAGGGATGGAGGGGTAGGGGAATGGAAGGATGGAGGGATGAGAGGATGGAGGGATGGAGGGATGGAAGGATGGGAGGATGGAGGGGTGCAAGGGTGGAAGGATGGAGGGGTGGAAGGATGGAGGGATGGAGGGATGGAGAGGATGGAGGGATGGAGGATGGAAGGATGGAGGGATGGAAGGATGGAGGGATGGAGGGGTGGGGGGATGGAGGGGTGGAAGGATGGAAGGTGGAAGGATGGAGGGATGGGGACATGGAGGGATGGAGGGGTGGGGAGATGGAAGGATGGGGGGCTGGGCTTTGACTTTGCACCCCCCCTGCTCCCGTGATGAGCCAAGGACGGGGTTGGCCGTGGTGGGAAGAGCCGGTGGTGGCACTTGGGGACTGCCTCGTGCCAGGAGCCCCCCCAGCACATCCCCCCCTCCTTCCCCCTTGGGATGGCACTCCCTGCCTGCTTTGGGGGAGCAGGACCACGTTAAAGTGACTGGTTTTTCTGGGGGGGTCTGGTTTGGGGAGCAGGACCACGTTGAATTGATTGTGGGTTTTTTGGGGGGGGTCTGGTTTGGGGGAGCAGGACCACATTGAAGTGAAGTGACTGGTTTTTTGGGAGGGTCTGGTTTGGGGGAGCAGGACCCCGTTGAAGAGATTGGGGAGTTTTTTTGGGTGTCTGGTTTGGGGGAGCAGGACCACGTTGAAATGATTGTGGTTTTTTGGGGAGGTCTGGTTTGGGGGAGCAGGACCATGTTGAAATGATTGTTGTTTTTTGGGGGGGTCTGGTTTGGGGGAGTAGGACCCCATTGAAATGATTGTGGGTTTTTTTGGGGGGGGGGTCTGGTTTGGGGGAGCAGGACCACGTTGAAGTGATTGGGGTTTTTTTTGGGGGGGAGGTCTGGTTTTGGGGAGCAGGACCACGTTGAAGTGATTGTGGTTTTTTGGTGGGGTTTGTTTTGGGGGAACAGGACCCCATTGAGGTGACTGGTTTTTTTTGGGAGGATGAGGGGGTGCCCTCCCCTCCCAGCCTGGTTTAGGGATCTGGGGAGCCCGGTGTGCACACTGGGAACGATTCTGCTGGCACGGGACTTCTCCAGGATCCCTCAGGATCCCTCCCCCCCCACTCCTACCCCAGGTGCTGAACGAGACCCTGTGCCCCACCTGGGACCAGCTGCTGGTGTTCGACAACGTGGAGCTGTTTGGGGAGGCCCAGGAGGTGAGGGACGACCCCCCCATCATCGTCATCGAGATCTACGACCAGGACACCGTGGTGAGGACCCCCCACCCGGGCTGGGGGGGAAATCCTGGAGAATTCCCGTGGGATCAGCAGTGCTGGGGGTCAATCCTGGAGAATTCCCGTGGGATCAGCAGTGCTGGGGGTCAATCCTGGAGAATTCCTATGGGATCAGCAGTGCCAGGGGCTGGGGGTCAATCCTGGAGAATTCCTGTGGGATCAGCAGTGCCAGGGGCTGGGGGATCAATCCTGGAGAATTCCTGTGGGATCAGCAGTGCTGGGGGTCAATCCTGGAGAATTCCTGTGGGATCAGCAGTGCTGGGGGTCAATCCTGGAGAATTCCCGTGGGATCAGCAGTGCTGGGGGCTGGGGGTCAATCCTGGAGAATTCCTGTGGGATCAGCAGTGCTGGGGGTCAATCCAGGAGATGGAGAGATGTGGGGTGTGTGTGACCCCATGGGATCAGCAGTGCCAAGGGCTGTGGGTTAACCCTGGAATCCTGTTTTAGGATCACACACCCCAAGGGCTGTGAGCTCAATCCTGACCCCCCATGGGATCACACACCCCAAGAGCTGTGGGGTCGATCCTGCAGCCCCCCCATGGGATCACACACACCCCAAGGGCTGTGGGGTCAATCCTGCAGTCCTGCTTTAGGATCACACACCCCAAGGGCTGTGGGGTCAATCTTGACCCCCCATGGGATCACACACACCCCAAAGGCTGTGGGGTCAATCCTGAAACCCCATGGGATCAGACACACACACAAGGGCTGTGGGGTCAATCCTGAACCCCCCCCATGGGATCACACACCCCAAGGGCTGTGGGTTAATCCTGGAGTCCATCCCATGGGATCACACACACCCCAAGGGCTGTGGGTCAATCCTGACCCCCCACGGGATCACACACACCCCAAGGGCTGTGGGTCGATCCTGAATCCTCCCATGGGATCACACACACCCCAAGGGCTGTGGGGTCGATCCTGAACCCCCCCCATGGGATCAGAGACCCCAAGGGCTGTGGGGTCAATCCTGCAGTCCCCCCATGGGATCAGAGACCCCAAGGGCTGTGGGGTTACACACACCCCAAGGGCTGTGGGGTCAATCCTGCAGCCCCCCCATGGGATCACACACACCCCAAGGGCTGTGGGGTTACACACACCCCAAGGGTTGTGGGGTCAGACACCCCAAGGGCTGTGGGGTTACACACACCCCAAGGGTTGTGGGGTCGATCCTGAACCCCCCCCATGGGATCACACACACCCCAAGGGCTGTAGGATCACACACCCCAAGGGCTGTAGGATCGATCCCGCAACCCCCCCCCCCCGTGGGCTCAGACACACCCCAAGGGCGGTTCCCCCGCAGGGCAAGGCGGATTTCATGGGCCGCACGTTCGCCAAGCCGGTGGTGAAGATGAGTGACGAGCGGTACAGCCCGCCCCGCTTCCCCCCCCAGCTCGAGTACTACCAGATCTACCGCGGCAGCGCCACGGCCGGGGACCTGCTGGCTGCCTTCGAGCTGCTCCAGGTGCCCCCCGACCCTCCCCATCATCCCCCCACCCTGTGCCAGGGACCTGCTGGCTGCCTCGAGCTGCTCCAGGTGCCCCTCGACCCTCCCCATCAACACCCCTGCCAGGGACCTGCTGGCTGCCTTCGAGCTGCTCCAGGTGCCCCCAGACCCTCCCCCATCATCCCCCCACCCCTGCCAGGGACCTGCTGGCTGCCTTCGAGCTGCTCCAGGTGCCCCCAGACCCCCCCTCCCCCATCATCCTCTGTCCCCCTGTGCCAGGGACCTGCTGGCTGCCCTCGAGCTGCTCCAGGTGCCCCCAGACCCTCCCCTGTCCCCCCCTGTCCCCCCATGCCAGGGACCTGCTGGCTGCCTTCGAGCTGCTCCAGGTGCCCCCTGACCCTCCCCTGTCCCCCCTCTGCCAGGGACCTGCTGGCTGCCTTCGAGCCCCTCCAGGTGCCCCCTGACCCTCCCCATCATCCCCTGTGCCAGGGACCTGCTGGCTGCCTTCGAGCCCCTCCAGGTGCCCCCAGACCCTCCCCATCATCCCCCTTGCCCTCGAGGACCTGCTGGCTGCCTTCGAGCTGCTCCAGGTGCCCCCGACCCTCCCCTATCATCCCCCCTGTGCCAGGGACCTGCTGGCTGCCTTCGACCTGCTCCAGGTGCCCCCGACCCTCCCCAGCTCCCCCTGTGCCAGGGACCTGCTGGCTGCCTTCGAGCTGCTCCAGGTGCCCCCTGACCCTCCCCATCTCCCCCCACCTGCCAGGGACCTGCTGGCTGCCTTCGAGCTGCTCCAGGTGCCCCCGACCCTCCCCATCATCCCCCTGTCCCCCTGCCAGGGAGGGACCTGCTGGCTGCCTTCGAGCTGCTCCAGGTGCCCCCCGACCCTCCCCTGTCCCCCTGTGCCAGGGACCTGCTGGCTGCCTCGAGCTGCTCCAGGTGCCCCCGACCCTCCCCATCATCCCCCTGTGCCAGGGACCTGCTGGCTGCCTTCGAGCTGCTCCAGGTGCCCCCTGACCCTCCCCATCATCCCCCCTCTGCCAGGGACCTGCTGGCTGCCTTCGAGCTGCTCCAGGTGCCCCCTGACCCTCCCCTGTCCCCCCTGCCAGGGACCTGCTGGCTGCCTCGAGCTGCTCCAGGTGCCCCCGACCCTCCCCATCATCCCCTCTACCAGGGACCTGCTGGCTGCCTTCGAGCTGCTCCAGGTGCCCCTGACCCTCCCCATCATCCCCTGTCCCCCTGTGCCAGGGACCTGCTGGCTGCCTTCGAGCTGCTCCAGGTGCCCCCGACCCTCCCCATCATCCCCCTGTGCCAGGGACCTGCTGGCTGCCTTCGAGCTGCTCCAGGTGCCCCCGACCCTCCCCATCATCCCCCTGCCAGGAGGGACCTGCTGGCTGCCTTCGAGCTGCTCCAGGTGCCCCCTGACCCTCCCCCATCATCCCCCTGTGCCAGGGACCTGCTGGCTGCCTTCGAGCTGCTCCAGGTGCCCCCTGACCCTCCCCATCATCCCCTGTCCCCCCCATGCCAGGGACCTGCTGGCTGCCTTCGAGCTGCTCCAGGTGCCCCCAGACCCTCCCCCATCTCCCCCCTGTGCCAGGGACCTGCTGGCTGCCTTCGAGCTGCTCCAGGTGCCCCCCGACCCTCCCCCTGTCCCCCCTGTGCCAGGGCAGCTGCTCAGACCAACCCTTTTCCTGCCCCCCGGTTCTCCCTGCAGGGGTGGGGGTTCTCAAGGGATTGGCTCCCGGGAGACATTTTTGGCCTTTCCCCGGTCCTGGGGTTGGGGGTGGGAGCTTCCACCTGCTCCTGGGCCGAGATCTGGGGGTGTTCCTGCCTCTCTGAGACACCTCCCACCCGAGACACCTCCCACCCGAGATCCCACCTGAGACACCTTCCACCCGAGACACCTCCCACCTGAGATCCCACCCAAACACACACCCCCCCACCACCGCTGGAAGGTGTCCCTGCTTGGAATGAAATGCTCCCAGAGCTCCCCCTCCCAACCCCAACCATTCCAGGATCCCATGAGGTGGGGTTGGGATGAGATGGTTGTGCAGATCCCCCTCCCAACCCCAACCATTCCAGGCAGGATCCCTGGGATGGACACAGAGCTCCCCCTCCCAACCCCAACCATTCCAGGATCCCTGAGATGGGCACAGAGCTCCCCTCCCAACCCCAACCGTTCCAGGACCCCTGGGATGGGCACAGAGCTCCTCCTCCCAACCCCAACCATTCCAGGCAGGATCCCTGGGATGGGCACAGAGCTCCCCCTCCCAACCCCAACCCTTCCGGGACCCCTGGGATGGGCACAGAGCTCCCTCCCAGCCCATCCTGGCCCGGGGGGGGCAGCTCCCGAGCCCGGCTCCTTCTGTTCCAGATCGGCCCCGGGGGCAAGTCCGACCTGCCCCCCATCGACGGCCCCACGGACGGGGAGCGGGGCCCCATCCTGCCCGTGCCGCTGGGGATCCGCCCGGTGCTGAGCAGATACAGGGTGGAGGTAAAGGGTCCTGGGGCACTCAGGGACACCCCTCGGCCTCGGCCATGGTGGGAGGAAGGGCTGGAGGGGACCCCTGGGGCACCCCGAGCATCCGTCCGGACTGGCTGGGCTGGGAAGTGCTGGAGCATCCCTAAAAAAACCCACAGGGGGCTGGGTCACTCCCTGCTGTCCCGGACGTGGGCAGAGCAGCCGGGGTGCAGGTCAGGGGCACGGTAAAGGTACCCCTGGAGATGGGGTATCTGTGGGGATATCCCCCCACTGAGCTCCCGTGGCTCAGGGGTTCTGAACCCCGATCCTCGGGCCCCGAGGGGGGGACATCTCTCACGGGTCTGCAGGGTCTAAAGGGGGATTTCTGTCAAAATTTGTGCATCCAGCGGGGCTAGGGCAGTGCCCTCCCTGTGCTGGCACTGCTGGGGCACCCCCAGTGCTGGGGCAGGGCTGGCCCCTCACACCAGAGACACAGGGAGGGGCTGGAGAGTGGGCAGGGAAGGGAACGGAGCTGGGAAGGGGCTGGAGCAGCAGGAGCAGCTGAGGGAGCTGGGGGGGCTCAGCCTGGAGAAAAGGAGGCTCAGGGGGGACCTTCTGGCTCTGCAATCCCTGACAGGAGGGGGGAGCCGGGGGGGGTCGGGCTCTGCTCCCAGGGAACAGGGCCAGGAGGAGAGGGAACGGCCTCCAGCTGGGCCAGGGGAGGGGCAGGGGGGACATCAGGAGGAATTTGTCCCTGGAAAGGGTGGTCAGGCACTGGCACAGCTGCCCAGGGAGGTTTGGAGTGCCCAGCCCTGGAGGTGTCTCAGGCAGGCCTGGCTGTGGCACTCAGTGCTCTGGGCTGGGGGCAGGGTGGGGATGGGACACAGGGGGGATCCACGGGCTGGGAGGGCTTTTCCGTCCTAAATGGGGACTCGGGAGGTGGGAAAATCTCACTAGGAGGAATTTGTGCTCCTGGGGGCAGCCCCGGGTAGGGAGCAGCAGGTTGGCCGGGTGGCACCGACTGTGACCGGGTGACACCGGTGCTGAGCTGGGGGACGGGAGGAGCTGCAGGGGAAGGGGAGAAGGGAAATGATGCAGGAAAAGGAGCGTTGGGGCAGCAGGTGGGAGATCATCGTGGGCCGCTGCAGGTCAGGCATGGGGTGGGTTTTGTGGGGGGGGTCAGAGGGACTCTGAGCCACGAGCAGGGGGACACCCCCAGGGCCCCCCCTCCCCCCGGGGACACTCCCTGCCCCCCTCACGCCCTTCCCGCCGCTGCTGCTCCATCCCAGGTGCTGTTCTGGGGGCTGCGGGACCTGAAGAGGGTGAACCTGGCGCAGGTGGACCGGCCGCGCGTGGACATCGAGTGCGCGGGGCGGGGCGTGCAGTCCGCGCTCATCCCCAACTACCGCCGCAACCCCAACTTCGCCACCCTCGTCAAGAGCTTCGAGGTGGTGAGTGCTGGCCCCCAGCCCCGGGGGGCACTCCTCCCGCAGCCCTGGGGCCGTGGGCACCGTCCCCGTGGGCACCATCCCTGTGGGCACTGTCCCCGTGGGCACTGTCCCCGTGGGCACCATCCCTGTGGGCACTGTCCCCGTGGGCACCGTCCCCGTGGGCACCGTCCCTGTGGGCTCTGTCCCCGTGGGCACCGTCCCTGTGGGCTCTGTCCCCGTGGGCACCGTCCCCGTGGGCACCGTCCCTGTGGGCTCCGTCCCCGTGGGCACCGTCCCTGTGGGCTCTGTCCCCGTGGGCACCGTCCCTGTGGGCTCTGTCCCCGTGGGCACCGTCCCTGTGGGCTCCATCCCCGTGGGCACCGTCCCTCTGGGCACCGTCCCCGTGGGCACCGTCCCCGTGGGCACCGTCCCCGTGGGCTCCGTCCCCGTGGGCTCCATCCCTGTGGGCACCGTCCATCCCCGTGGGCTCTGTCCCCGTGGGCTCCATCCCCGTGGGCTCCGTCCATCCCCGTGGGCTCCGTCCCCGTGGGCTCCGTCCCCGTGGGCTCCGTCCCTGTGGGCTCTGTCCCTGTGGGCTCCGTCCCCGTGGGCTCCGTCCCCGTGGGCACCGTCCCCGTGGGCTCCATCCCCGTGGGCTCTGTCCCCGTGGGCTCCGTCCCCGTGGGCTCCATCCCCGTGGGCTCCATCCCCGTGGGCTCCGTCCCCGTGGGCTCCGTCCCCGTGGGCTCTGCCCCCGTGGGCTCCGTCCCCATGGGCACCGTCCCCGTGGGCTCCATCCCCGTGGGCTCCATCCCCGTGGGCTCCGTCCCCGTGGGCTCCATCCCCGTAGGCTCCGTCCCCGTGGGCTCCGTCCCCGCAGGCTCCGTCCCTGTGGGCTCTGTCCCTGTGGGCTCTGTCCCTGTGGGCTCTGTCCCCGTGGGCACCGTCCCCGTGGGCTCCGTCCCCGTGGGCTCCATCCCCGTGGGCTCCATCCTCGTGGGCTCCGTCCCCGTGGCCTCCGTCCCCGTGGGCTCTGCCCCGTGGGCTCCGGCCCCTGTGGGCTCTGTCCCCGTGGGCCTCGGCCCCCGTGGGCTCCGGCCCCTGTGGGCTCCGGCCCCCGTGGGCTCCATCCCCGTGGGCCTGGCCCCCGTGGGCTCCGCCCCTGTGGGCTCCGCCCCTGTGGGCTCTGGCCTCGTGGGCTCCATCCCCGTGGGCTCCGCCCCCGTGGGCTCCATCCCCGTGGGCTCCGTCCCCGTGGGCTCCGTCCCCGTGGGCTCCGTCCCTGTGGGCTCCGTCCCCGTGGGCTCCATCCCCATGGGCTCCGTCCATCCCCGTGGGAGCCCGTCCTGCTCCCGAGCCCTGCCCGGCTGGAGCGGCTCCGGAGCCCTCCCAGATCACCCCTCGTCTGGGCACTGCTGGTTCCAGTCCCCTTCCCAGCCACCATCCCAGACATCTCTTATTCCCCATCCCAATCCCCGTCCCAACCACCATCCCAGATATTTCCCATCCCAATCCCCTCCCCAGGCACCATCCCAGACATTCCCCATCCCAATCCCCTTCCCAGGCACTATCCCAGACATCCCTCATTCCCCATCCCAAACACCTATCCCAGACATCCCTCATTCCCCATCCCAATCCCCATCCCAGACATTCCTCATCCCCCATCCCAATCCCCATCCCAGCCACCATGTCAGACATCCCTCAATCCCCATCCCAGACACCATCCCAGACACTCCTCATTCTCCATCCCAATCCCCTTCCCAACCACCATCCCAGACACCCCCCATCTCAGACACCTCCCATCCCACAGCCCAACCCCCATCCCAGACATCCCCAATCTCACTCCCGTTCCCAGCCATCCTCACAGACACCCCAAATCCCACTCCCCATCCCACCCACCATCCCAGACATCCTCCATCCCACAGCCCACCCACCATCCCAGACACTCCCATCCCAATCCCCTTCCTGACCCCCATCCCAGACACTCCCCATCCCACTCCCTATTCCAACCCCCATCCCAGACACCCCCATCCCAACCCCCCTCTCATCCCAGCCCCCCCAATCCCTTAGGATCTCCCCGAGAACGAGCTGCTGCACCCCCCTCTGAACATCCGCGTCGTGGATTGCCGCGCCTTCGGCCGCTACGCCCTGGTGGGGTCCCACACCGTCAGCTCCCTGCGCCGCTTCCTCCTGCGGCCCCCGGACACGGCCGGACACCCCCGGGACAACGCCGGTACCACCGGACACGGGGGTTGGGATGGGGGAAATACGGGGGGAATGGGGGAGATATGGGGGAGATATGGGGAATGGGGAATGAACAGGGGAAATGAAGAAGGAAATGGGGAGATGGGGGAATGGGGGATGGGGAATGGGGAATAGGGGAGATATGGGGGAATGGGGGATGGGGGATGGGGAGATAGGGGGAATGGGGGATGGGGGATGGGGAATGGGGAATGGGGAATGGTAAATGGAGATGGGGAATGGGGAATGGGGGATGGGGGAGATATGGGGAATGGGGAATGGGGAGATATGGGGGATATGGGGAAAATTGGGGAAATGGGGAAAAGGGGGAAATGGGGGAATGAGGGAATGGGGAGATGGGGGAATAGGGTTAGGGTTAGGTTAGGAGATGAACAGGGGAATGGGGAAAATGGGGGAATGGGGGAAATGGGGAATGGGGGAAATGGGGAAAATGAGAGGTGGGATGGGAAAAAGGGAGAAAGAGGGATGGGGAAAATGAGGGAAAGGGGGATGGGGAAAATGAGGGAGGTGGGATGGGAAAATGAGGGAGGTGGGATGGGAAAAAGGGGGAAAGAGGGATGGGGAAAACGAGGGAAGGAGGGTGGGGAAAAGGGGGAGCATGGGACGGGGAAAAGGAGGGAGGTGGGATGGGATGAGTGAGAGAGGTGGGATTGGGAAAACAGGGAGGTGGGACACGGAAAATGAGGGGGTGGGATGGGAAAAAGGGGAAGAGAGGGATGGGGAAAACAGGGAAAGGGGGATGGGGAAATCAGGAACTGGGGGATGGGGAAAACAGGGAAAGGGGGATGGGGAAAATGAGGGAGGTGGGATGGGGAAAACAGGAATTGTGGGATGGGGAAAATGGGGAAAGGGGGATGGGGAAAACAGGGACCATGGGATAGGGAAATCAAGGGCAGAGGGATGTGGAAAACGGGGACCATGGGATGGGGAAAATGGCGAGGGGGGGAATGGGGAAAACAGGGGAGGTGAGACGGGGAAAATGAGGGAAAATGAGGGATTTGAGATTGGAAAAAATGGGAAAGAGGGATGGGGAAAACGGGGACAGTGGGATGGGGAAAATGAGGGAACTGGGCTGGGGAAAACGTGGAATGCCGCTCCCGCTTTTCCCCACTCCACATGCCCTGGCTTTTGTTTCTCCTTTTCCCTTGATTTTTAACCTTTTTCCATCACTTTTTTCAGTTGGGTCTTTTTTTTTTTTTTTTTACTTTTTATGGTAAAAAAAGACCCCAACCCCCCCTTTGTCCTCGAGAACCTCCTGCCTTTGTTTCTCCTTAATTCTGATTTTTTTAAATATCACAAATTTAAAAATAAATCCCCTTAAACGAAATTTTTAATGAATTAATTGATTTCCCCTTAATCTGAATTTTTTAAATTTAATAAATTTAAAAAAATCCCCTTAAATGGTTTTTAAAAAATTTAATCAAGTAGTTAATTTCCCCTTTAATGTTAAAGTTTTAAATATCATAAATTTAAAAATCAATTGCCTTAAATGGAAATTTTAATCGATTACTTAATTGCTTTTCCCCTTAATTTGAAATTTTGGAACTCAAGAAGTTAAAAAATCAGTCTCTTGAATGAAATTTTTTAATTTTAATGTTTTAAATATCATACATATAAAATAAATGCACTTTAATGATATTTTAATTAATTAATTAGACATTTTAAAATTTTACAACTTAAAAACCAAATCCCCTTAAATGACAATATCAATTAAATAACAATTAATTCCCCTTTACTGTTAATGTTTTTTAATATCCTAAATTAAAAATCGATTGTTCCCTAAGTGAAAATTTTGATGTAATTAATTAGTTAATTTCCCTTTAATTTTGATGTTTTAAATCCCATAAATTTAAAAATAAACCCACTTAAATGAACTTAAATGAACGCCTGTCCTCGTCCCCGTCCCTGCTCCCTCTCTTTGCCCTGTCCCCATCCCCATCCCTGTCCCCATCCCTGGTCCCCCTCTGTGCCCTGTTCCCATCCCTGTCCCTGTCCTTATTCCCATCCCCGTCCCTGTTCCCGTCCCTGTCCCCATCCCTGTCCCTGTTCCCATCCCTGTCCCCATCCCTGGTCCCTCTCTGTGCCCTGTCCCCATCCCTGTTCCCATCCCTGTCCCCGTCCCTGTTCCCATCCCTGTCCCTATTCCCGTCCCTGTCCCCATCCCTGGTCCCTCTCTGTGCCCTGTCCTCATCCCTGTCCCCATCCCTGTCCCTGTTCCCGTCCCTGTCCCCATCCCTGTCCCCGTCCCTGTTCCCATCCCTGTCCCCGTCCCTGTTCCCATCCCTGTCCCCATCCATGTCCCCATCCCCGTCCCTGTCCTTGCTCTCAATCTGTGCCCCATCCCTGTCCCTGTCGCTGCTCTCCCTCCTCTGCTCTGTCCCCATCCCTGTTCCCGTCCCCATCCCTGTCCCTGCTCCCTCTCCATGCCCTGTCTCTGTCCCTGTCCCCGTCCCCATCCCTGTCCCTGCTCTCTCTCCATGCCCTGTCTCTGTCCCTGTCCCCATCCCCATCCCTGTCCCTGCTCCCTCTCCATGCCCTGTCTCTGTCCCTGTCCGTCCCCATCCCCGTCCCTGCTCTCTCTCTCCCCTGCTCTGTCCCCATCCCTGTCCCTGTCGCTGCTCCCCCTCCTCCACCCCGTCCCTGCTCCCTCTCTGCCACCCTGTCCTTGTCCCTGTCCCTGTTCCCTGTCCACCACCCCGTCCCTGTTCCCTCTCCTCTGCCCAGTCCCCTGTCCCCGTCCCTGTTCCCTGTCCCCGTCCCTGCTGGATCCCCGGGTTGGATCCCAAGCTATCCTGGCCCTGACGGACGGGCCCCCCCTCTCCATCCCGCAGGGGAGGTTGTGGTGAGCGTGGAGCCCGAGGTTCCCATCCGGAAGATGGAGACGGTGGTGAAGCTGGAAGCTGTGAGTGCCCCATTCCCGCTCCAGCAGCTCCTCCCCCACGGAATTCCCGCTCCCCGAGGGATCCCTCGCGGTGTCCCACAGGGAGCGGGGTCTGTCACCCACTCTGGAAGCGCCCGGGCCCGTTTTCCGGGCCCGAACAGGAGCTTCAGCTCCTCCTCACACCCTCCTGCTCCACAAAAACAGATCCCTGGAGCTGCTGCCAGGGCTGGAGCCCCTCGGCTCTGGAGCCGGGCTGGGAGAGCTGGGAATGGCCGGGCTGGAGAAGGGAAGGATCCAGGGAGAGCTTGAGAGCCCCTTCCAGAGCACTGGAGAGGCTCCAGGAGAGCTGGAGAGGGACTGGGGACAAGGAATGGAGGGACAGGACACAGGGAATGGCTTCCCACTGCCAGAGGGCAGGGAGAGATGGGAGATTGGGAAGGGATTCCCGGCTGGGAGGGTGGGGAGGGCCCGGGCTGGAATTCCCAGGGAAGCTGTGGCTGCCCCTGGATCCCTGGAGTGTCCCAGGCCGGGCTGGATCCTTCTGGGATAGCGGGAGGTGTCCCTGCCCGTGGCAGGGGGTTGGAATTAAATGATGTTTAAGGTCCCTTCCCCCCCAAACCCACCCGGGATTCCACGCCCCGTGCCCAGCTGAGGGTTTGCTCCTGACCTGCTCTCCCTCTCCCTGTTCCCTCCCGCCCCGCACGGCAGAACTCGGACGCGGTGGTGAAGGTGGACGTGGTGAGTGCTGGACCTTCCTCTCCTCCCCTCTCCCAGCCCTTCCCAGCGGGCCACCCGCGGCATCCTCAGCCCCCCGGGACAGGCAGGGCCACAGCGTGCCGTGTCCCACACAGCGCGGGTGTGGCAGTGGCTCCCGCCGCCTTCGGGAAGCAATTCCAAGGCCTGGATTTCTCACCCCAGCTGCCCCTGGGAGGGGCAGGACAGGCAGGGCTCGGGGGCTGGGGGCTCGCTGGGTGTTCCCACCACAGGCAGGTGCCGGCTGGGAAAGGTCTCCCTGCAGCACAGAGCGGCCTCAGGGGGGCTTTGCTGATTGCCGGGAGAGATTCGGGAGCTGTGGGAATGCATGGATGGAAGGGATGATGGAAATCTGGGAAGCGGGGGGGGGGGTGGTTGTCTCAGGGTTTCTGCATCCCTGGGAGCGTTCCAGGCCGGGTTGGACGGGGCTTGGAGCAACCTGGGCGAGTGGAAGGTGCCCCTGGTGGAACGGGACGAGCTTTAACTCCCCTCCCAGCCCAGAGCATCCCACGATCCCGTGGCTCTGAGTATCCCTGGATCCTCTGGTGCCTCGCTGTCCGAACACGGGGGGAGGTGACGGTGCCCCCCGGGCTGGGCGGTTGTGCCTCCTCAGGCACCACCCGGGCACTTCAGGGGACATTTCCCATCGCTCTCCCCTTCTGCCTTTGCTTCCCTTCAGAGCGAGGAGGAGAAGAAGAAAAAGAAGAAGAAAGGAGGAGGAGGAGGAGGAGGAGGAGGGGAGGAGGTGGAGGAGGAGGAGCCCGACGAGAGCATGCTGGACTGGTGGTCCAAGTACTTCGCGTCCATCGAGACCATGAAGGAGGTGGGTTCGGGGCAGGGCGGGGCTGTGCCTGGGGAGGGGGTGGTGGCAGGAAAACGTTGTCCCCTGGCTGGGGGGATCCCACCCGTTCCCAGCCGATCCCAAAGCCCGGTGGATGTGCCGCATCCCTTGCCAGCCCTGCCCGTCCCAGAGCCATCCTGGAACGGCTGGAAAAGCCCTCCGAGATGGAGCCCAAACCGCCCAGGCCACCCGTGTCCCCAAGTGCCACCCCCCCGCGGGGCTCTGGAGCCCCTCCAGGGGCGGGCACTCCACCCCTGCCCCGGGGCAGCTTTTCCAGGAGGGGGCCGTTCCCGATATCCAGTGGTTTCCCTCCTCCCCCAGCAACTCCGGCAGCAGGAGGCGGCGGCGGCAGACGCAGAGGAGAAGGAGGAGATGGAGATTGGAGAGGGTGAGCAGGGCAGGAGGGAGGGATGGGGGGACCAGGATCCTTCCCGGGGCTTGGAGAGGGTGAGCAGGGCAGGAGGGAGGGATGGGGGGATCCAGGATCCTTCCCGGGGCTTGGAGAGTGTGAGCAGGGCAGGAGGGAGGGATCGGGGGATCCAGGATTCCTCCCGGAGGTTGCAGAGGGTGAGCAGGGCAGGAGGGGGGGATCGGGGGGATCCAGGATCTTCCCGGCGCTTGGAGAGGGTGAGCAGGGCAGGAGGGGGATCGGGGGATCCCGGAGGTTGCAGAGGGTGAGCAGGGCAGGAGGGAGGGATCAGGGGATCCAGGATTCCTCCTGGAGGTTGGAGAGGGTGAGCAGGGCAGGAGGGAGGGATCGGGGGATCCCAGAGGTTGCAGAGGGTGAGCAGGGCAGGAGGGAGGGATCGGGGGGACAGCTCTGAGCGGGTTCTCCCAGCTTTGCTCTCCCAGCCGGGGATGTCCCATGTCCCCCACCTCGTGTTTTCTTTCTGTCTCCTGAGAAGGATCCACTTCCCCTGGCTCTCCCCTTCCTCCCTCCTTCCACGCCAGGCCAGTCCATCCCCCCTGGCACTGCCCAGCCCCAGGAAAGCTGTCAGAGGAGGGGCAGGGTTCCCGAGTGCCCCCTCCCTGTCTCCCCCACACCCCCCTCACCCCCCATCTCTGCCTCCCTGACGCTCCCCCAGGGCTCAGACCCCCAACCTGGGCACTCCTCTTCCCCCCCAAAGGCTCCAAGGCTCAGGCCAAGCACAAGGACAAGCCCAAGGCACCCAAGGAGGACAAGAAGAAGAAGCAGCAGGCGGCCCCCGAGCTCCCTGAGAGGAAGAGCAAGCAGAAGGTTGAGGAGCTGAAGGTGTGTGTGTGGTGGGGAGGGTGCAGGGAAGGCTCCTCTGCTTCCAAGGACACCCCCTAATCCTGGGGGAGGTGTGCCCTGGGACATCCCAGCTGGGGCTGTGCCCTGGGACGAGGATTGGCACCCTCTCTGCAGGGTTTGGGGCAGTGGGAGGTCACAGGCTTGGCAGGGAAGGGGGTGCCCTGGGCAGGCTCATCCCTGGGGCAGCTGGGATGTGTCGCCCCTGGAAGGGGACACAGAATTCCAGCCTGGATTTGGGGCAGGGCTGGGCTCTGGTTTGGTGATCCCGAGGACTTATTAGGATTCACGTAGCCTGTGGGAATTGGGTGTCCATGTTCACAGAATCCCGGGATCACCGAGGCTGGAAAAGCCCTCCCAGCCCATGGATCCCCCCTGTGCCCCATCCCCACCTTGTCCCCCAGCCCAGAGCACTGAGTGCCTGCCTGGGACACCTCCAGGGCTGGGCACTCCAAACCTCCCTGGGCAGCCCCTGCCAGTGCCTGACCACCCTTTCCAGGGACAAATCCCTCCTGATGTCCCCCCTGCCCCTCCCCTGGCCCAGCTGGAGGCCGTTCCCTCTCCTCCTGGCCCTTGTTCCTTGCTGACAGTGCTCCCCTGTCTGAGTGCTCCCCTGAGAGCTCACTGTACCTTTTCCTCACTGTTTGGTGGTTTGGTTTTTTTTTTTTTGTTAAACCCAGTTTCCTCCCTCTTTTCCCCTCCCTCCCTCCCGTCCCAGGTGTTCAACAAGGAGCTGGAGTCGGAGTTTGACGGCTTTGAGGACTGGCTGCACACCTTCAACCTGCTGCGGGGCAAGATCGGCGACGACGAGGACACGGCCACGGAGGAGGAGCGGATCGTGGGCAGGTTCAAGGTGAGTGCAGCCCCCAGCAGGGGATGAGGGGTGGGACCCCCATCCCTGGGGGCTCTGTGCCCCCTGGGCAGCGGCACTGAGGGCCCTGCCCCGCTCCAGGGCTCCCTGTGCGTGTACAAAGTGCCGCTGCCCGAGGACGTGGCCAGGGAGGCCGGACACGACCCCGCGGCCGGGATGTTCCAGGGCATCCCCAGCAACGACCCCGTCACCGTCCTCGTCAGGGTCTACGTCGTCAGGGTGAGGGGGCGGCACGGGGGGATCCCAGGGAACCTTCCATGGGCTGGGAGAGGAGGTGATCCCAGGAATCCTTCCATGTGCTCATCCATGTGCTGGGACAGACTGTGATCCCAGGGAACCTTCCATGGGCTGGGGGGGATGATCCCTTCCATGTGCTAGGATGGGGGGTGTGATCCCAGGAACCCTTCCATGTGCTGGAACAGGGAGTGTGATCCCAGGAACCCTTCCATGTGCTTATCCATGTGCTGGGACAGACTGGGATCCCAGGGAACCTTCCATGGGCTGGGAGAGGAGGTGATCCCAGGGAACCTTCCATGGGCTGGGACAAGGGGTGTGATCCCAGGAATCCTTCCATGTGCTGGGACAGGGGGTGTGATCCCAGGAACCCTTCCACGTGCTGGGATAAGGGATGTGATCCCAGGAACCCTTCCCTGTGCTGGCACAGAGGATGCCAGAGGAGAGCGTGGTGGTGTCAGGGAGGGGACACAGTCAGGCCTGACCTCCCCCTGACAGGGACAGGCATCAACAGCAGGCAGGAACAGCCCCCCCTTTTCACCCCAAACACCCCACCCAGGGGCACTGGAGCAGCCAGGCCAGGGCAGGGGTCCCCAGGGCTGGAGAAGGGGCCACCCCCGAGCCCTGCCCTGTCCCCTGTGTCCCCCCCAGGCCACCGACCTTCACCCGGCCGACATCAACGGCAAAGCCGACCCCTACATCGCCATCAGGCTGGGCAAGACAGACATCAGGGACAAGGAGAACTACATCTCCAAGCAGCTCAACCCCGTCTTTGGCAAGTGAGTTGGCCCAGCCCTGGCACCTCTGTCTGGGCCTGGCCTTGGGGAGCTGATCCTGAGCCCAGCCCTGAGCCCAGCCCTGAGCCCCTCCTGGGCTGTCCCAGACTCACTCCAGCCCCTGGAGCTGATCCTGAGCCCAGCTCTGAGCCCCTCCTGGGCTGTCCCAGACTCACTCCAGCCCCTGGAGCTGATCCTGAGCCCAGCCCTGAGCCCCTCCTGGGCTGTCCCAGACTCACTCCAGCCCCTGGAGCTGCTCCTGAGCTGTCCCAGGGCTGCTGCTCCAGCTGGAAGAGCGGGACTCACCCCACAGAACTGCCCTGGGGAGCAGGTTGGGGGTCCCTCCTTGCGGGGTGTCCTTCTTTGCCCGCCCATGGTCGAGGTAGTTCTGGGTGTTTAGGAGACTTCCAGTTTAAAAATCCCTCCTTTAGGAACCCTCAGACCTAAATCTGAGTGAAAAGGAAGGCACAAAATCTTCGTTTCGGGGCTGCTGAGACCCCCAGGACAGGCCACCCCCCGTGCTGGGCTGGGGGGTCTGGCACAGCCCGGGCAGAGACTGAGTTAAGGAACCCCCCTCCCCTGCTCTGGGGGGGCAGCCAGACCCTGCAGCAGCTTTTCCTGACCCCCCCTCCCCGTGCCAGGTCCTTCGACATCGAGGCCACCTTCCCCATGGAGTCCATGCTGACGGTGGCCGTGTACGACTGGGACCTGGTGGGCACCGACGACCTCATCGGGGAGACCAAGATCGACCTGGAGAACCGCTACTACAGCAAGCACCGCGCCACCTGCGGGCTGGCACACACCTACTCCACGTAGGGCACGCCCGCCCCGCCCTGCCTGCCCCCTGCATCCTCCTCTGCCTCACCTTCCACAGCTTTCCTGCCCCCTGCTCCTCCTCTGCCTCACCTTCCAGACCCTCCCTGCCCCCTGCACCTTCCTCTGCCTCACCTTCCTGAGCTTTCCCTGCCCCCTGCACCTTCTTCTGCTTCACCTTCCTGAGCTTTCCCTGCCCCCTGCATCCTCCTCTGCCTCCCCTTCCTGAGCTTTCCCTGCCCCCTGCATCCTCCTCTGCCTCACCTTCCAGACCCTCCCTGCCTCCTGCACCCTCCTCTGCCTCACCTTCCTGAGCTTTCCCTGCCCCCTGCCCCCTCCTCTGCCTCACCTTCCTGAGCTTTCCCTGCCCCCTGCACCCTCCTCTGCCTCACCTTCCACAGCTTTCCTGCCCCCTGCACCCTCCTCTGCCTCACCTTCCTGAGCTTTCCCTGCCCCCTGCATCCTCCTCTGCCTCACCTTCCTGAGCTTTCCCTGCCCCCTGCATCCTCCTCTGCCTCCCCTTCCTGAGCTTTCCCTGCCCCCTGCATCCATCCTGTCTCACCTTCCTGCCCATCCTGCCTCCTGCACCCTCCTCTGCCTCACCTTCCACAGCTTTTCCTGCCCCCTGCACCTTCTTCTGCTTCACCTTCCTGCCCATCCTGCCCCCTGCACCTTCTTCTGCTTCACCTTCCAGACCCTCCCTGCCTCCTGTACCCTCCTCTGCCTCACCTTCCACAGCTTTCCTGCCCCCTGCACCCTCCTCTGCCTCACCTTCCTGCCCATCCTGCCCCCTGCACCTTCTTCTGCTTCACCTTCCTGCAGCCTATCCCTGCCCCTCTGCACCCTCCCTCTTCTTCACCTCCTGAGCTTTCCCTGCCCTCTGCATCCTCCTCTGCCTCACCTTCCACAGCTTTCCTGCCCCTGCAACCTCCTCTGCCTCACCTTCCTGAGCTTTCCCTGCCCCCTGCACCCTCCTCTGCCTCACCTTCCTGAGCTCTTCCTGCCCCTGCATCCTCCTCTGCCTCACCTTCCTGAGCTTTTCCTGCCCCCTGCTCCTTCTTCTGCCTCACCTTCCTGAGCTTTTCCTGCCTCCTGCACCCACCCCTGTCTCACCTTCCAGACCCTCCCTGCCCATCCTGCCTCCTGTATCTTCCTCACCTTCCAGACCCTCCCTGCCTCCTGCACTCACCTCCTCACCTTCCAGAGCTTTTCCTGCCTCCTGCTCCCACCTCCTCACCTTCCAGAGCTTTTCCTGCCTCCTGCTCCCACCTCCTCACCTTCCAGAGCTTTTCCTGCCTCCTGCTCCCACCTCCTCCCCTCCGCTCCCCGAGCCTGCCGGAGCCTCCTCCCCCCTTCACTTCCCGCCCGCCACAGGAGGATTTGGGTTGGGAAGGACCTTTAAGGGTCCCCCAGTCCAGCCCCCCTGCCCAGGGCAGGGAGGAAAGGAGGAGTCCGTGCTGTCCCACCCCAGACAGGGGTTGGGAGCAGCACAGCGGGGAGGGGAGGGGGTTGCCGGGATCCGGGGTGGGAAGCGCTGGGGGAGTGGGAAGAGGTGAAACTGCAGCCAAAGGGGCCCAAGGAACGATCCTGAAAATCAGGAATCAAGTGGGACGCCCTGGCTGAGTCGGGGTGTTTGTGGGGCGGGGGCAGGAGGATCCCGGTCTGCTCTGAGGGGTCCCGTTTGCTGCCCCAGATCCTTTTCCCCGGCAATCCCGGTGGGCTCGGCCGGGAAAGGGGCGTGAAAGGGGCGTGAAAAGGCTGCGAATCCCGCCCGGCTGAGCTCGTTCTCCACCCCACCCCCCCGGTCACAGGCACGGCTACAACGCCTGGAGGGACCCCATGAAGCCCTCCCAGATCCTGTCCAAGCTGTGCAAGGAGGGCAAGGTGGACGGGCCGCACTTCGGGCCGGCGGGGAGGGTCAGAGTGGCCAACAGGGTCTTCACCGGCCCCGCGGAGATCGAGGATGAGAACGGTAGGACCCTGTGGATGAGGGCTGGGGGGGCAGCGGGGCCGGGGGTGTCCCCTCGTCAGCCAGGAATGCAGCCACGGCTGGGACCACAGTGAGGTTTGGGCTGGGAGGGACCTCGGAAGGTTTGTCCAGCCCGATCCCCCCGGTCCAACCCCCCCGAGGTGCCCTCAGCACCACCAGGGCTGCCCCTGGAGCCTCCTCCCGGCAGGGAACGCCCAGGGAGCAGGGCAGACACCTCCCCCCGGCATTCCCAGGGCTCGGGAAGCTGCTCCCCATGGAACTGCACCCCCAAACTGGGGGAGAGAGGGGTGCAGAGCACCCCAATGTGTGCCCAAAGGAAAGAGGGAGGGGGGTCGGGGCTGAAGAAGAGGAGGAGAACACGTGAATGGACGTGGAACTGGTTCAGACTGGGAAAGCACAGCCTGGGGAGGGGATGTGGAGAGGTGGAGGGATGGAGAAGGAGAAGAGTCAGACCGAGAAAGCACAGGCTGGGGTGGGATCTGGAGAGATGGAGGGATGGAGAGGGGAGAAGGAGAGGGAGTGAGGCAGCGCTGGCTGCAGGACAGAGCATCCCCCAGGAGCCAGAGCAGGGCTGGGGGCAGGGGGGTCCCCGCTGTGCCCCCGCCGGCTCTGCAGGCCCCGCCGTGCCCCCCAGGCCAGAAGAAGGCGTCGGAGGAGCCGGTGGCACTGGTGGCCCTGCGGCACTGGCAGGACGTGCCCCGCGCCGGCTGCCGCCTCGTCCCCGAGCACGTCGAGACACGGCCCCTGCTCAACCCCGACAAACCCGGCATCGAGCAGGTAATGGGGCCGGGGGGACAGACCGGGCATCGAGCAGGTAATGGGGACAGGGGGACAGACCGGGCATCGAGCAGGTAATGGGGACAGGGGGACAGCAGGGACAGGGGGACAGAACAACCTGGGCATCGAGCAGGTCCTGGGGCAAGGGGGGCCGGGGGACAGACTGGCCCTGCCCCATATTTAGAGGGTTCAGCACTGCAGACCCTGCCCCACATCTGGGGGTTCACCCTGCAGGCCCTGCCCCACATCTGGCCTGGCCAGAGGGACCTTGGGGGGCAGGAGGAGCTGGGGGGAGGTGGCTGCAGGTGGGGAGGGGGCTCGGGGGGCCGAGGAGAGCTGGCTGAGCTGACTGCCCCCCTCTCCCTCCCCCTGCAGGGGCGCCTGGAGATGTGGGTGGACATGTTCCCCATGGACATGCCGGCGCCCGGCCCCGCCATCGACATCTCTCCCAGGAAACCCAAGAAGTAAGGATAGCAGGGAGCTGGGGGTGGAGCCCAGACCCCAGAGATCCCAGGGCTGGGTGCCTTCCCCGGATCCCAGAGATCCCAGGGCTGGGTGCCTTCCCCGGATCCCAGAGATCCCGGGGTGCCTTCCCCCCCTTCCAGAGCTGCTCCCAGGGTGCTGCCCCGCCTCTTCCACGCCCTCCCTGCAGCTCCCCCATCTTTCCAGCCCGGGAAATCCAACCACTCCCAGCAGGGCGGAGGGCCCAGCCCTGACCCTGTCCCGGGCACGGGTGGGGTCATCCCAGGGCACGGCATTCCAGGGAGTTCGGACGGGGCTTTTCCAGGAGGTGATGGGCAGAACCAGGGCACTGGAGGCTGCAGGACGGAGCTGGCCATCCCAAGCAGGGCAGAGCAGGCTCAGGCAGTGCACAAAGAGCCCTTCCCTGCCCTCTCCCAACTCCTTCAGAGCTGGGAAGAAAGACCTTTCTTCTCTCAGAATCCCTCCCAGTCCTGCCTTACCCTGCCGGGCTCGGCCCCTGTGCCCCCTTTCCCGCTGCCCTGGCATACAGGGAACACTGGGAATGCTGGTGGGAGTCTGCTGTGCATTCCAGGCAGGGAGAACGTCCCTGGCTCCCAGCTGGAGGTGCCGGAGGGGCAGAGCCCGGGACAAGATCCCGCTTTGGGTGCAGAGGGGAGGGGCAGGGGGAGGTGGCAGGAGGAGGTGACAGGAGGGAGGCACACCCAGCCCTCGGGGGAAGGGAAAGAGCCGCACCCCGGTTGTTCTGCAGAGCCAAAACCTCCCCAAAGCCCAGCCTGGGCTGTCCCCGGGAGCCTTGGCTGGGGCCCTGCAGAGGTTCAGAGCAGAGGAGGGAAAGCTGCCCGAGCTGCTCTGCTCCCCCTGCCCAGGCTGATCCGAGATCCCAGACAGCTCATGGAATCAGGGAATGCTTCGGAGTCAAAGGGACCTTAAAGATCATTTAATTCCAACCCCCTGCCACGGGCAGGGACACCTCCCGCTGTCCCAGGGGATCCAACCCGGCCTGGGACACTCCAGGGATCCAGGGGCAGCCACAGCTTCCCTGGGAATTCCAGCCCAGCCCCTCCCCACCCTCCCAGCCAGGAATCCCTTCCCAATCTCCCATCTGTCCCTGCCCTCTGGCAGTGGGAAGCCATTCCCTGTGTCCTGTCCCTCCATCCTTGTCCCCAGTCCCTCTCCAAGCTCTCCCTGGATCCTTCCCTTCTCCACCTGAACATTCCCAGCTCTCCCAGCCTGGCTCCATGAGAACAGTTCCATCCCTCCCATCACCTCCCTGGTCGAGATCCCCTCCTGTTCCTTCCCTCACGACCCCTCGGTTGAGCCCTGTGAGATCCCGGTGCCTGTCCCTCCTTTCTGGCAGCTCCCCCTGCTCCCCTCCCTGCCCCTCTCCTGGATTTCCCCTTCCCTCTGCCAGGTACGAGCTGCGGGTGATCGTGTGGAACACGGACGAGGTGATCCTGGAGGACGACGACTACTTCACCGGCGAGAAGTCCAGCGACATCTTCGTCAGGGGGTGGGTGCCCTGGCACCTCCCACCTCCCGCTGTCCCAGGGGATCCAGCCCGGCCCGGGACACTCCAGGGATCCAGGGGCAGCCACAGCTTCCCTGGGAATTCCAGCCCGGCCCCTCCCCACCCTCCCAGCCGGGAATCCCTTCCCAATCTCCCACCCAGATCTCCCCTTTCCCAGTGGGAAGCCATTCCCTGTGTCCTGTCCCTCCATCCCTTGTCCCCAGTCCCTCTCCAGCTCTCCTGTGAGCCCCTTTCCAGCCTGCTCTGCTCCAGCAGCGCTCCCAGCTCCCGTCCAGCTCCTTAACACCTCCCTGCCCCCAGACAACCCCTCTGCATCTCCTTCTCCCAAACCTCCCTGTGCCCCCCGGCCCCTGAGCCCAGCGTGGTGCCCCTCGGAGACGCCGCTGCAGTGCCTGGAGCAGCCCCTTTTGCTCCCCTCTCCTGTGTCCCCTCTGTCCTGGGGACCCCCTGCTGCAGGGACAGGGTGGCCCTGCCCCCCTCTCCTGTGTCCCCCCGGTCCTGGGGACCCCCTGGCTGCAGGCACAGGGTGGTCCTGCCCCCCATAACCCGTGTCCCCCTGGTCCTGGGGACCCCTGGCTGCAGGCACATGGTGGTCCTGCCCCCCATGACCCGGGTACCCCAGTCCTGGCTGCAGGCACATGGTGGCCCTGCCCCCCGTGACCCGTGTCCCCCCTCGCCCCTCCGGCCCCGCAGGTGGCTGAAGGGTCAGCAGGAGGACAAGCAGGACACCGATGTCCACTACCACTCGCTCACCGGGGAGGGCAACTTCAACTGGAGGTACATCTTCCCCTTCGACTACCTGATGGCCGAGGAGAAGATCGTCATCTCCAAGAAGGAGTCCATGTTCTCCTGGGACGAGACCGAGTACAAGATCCCGGCCCGGCTCACCCTGCAGGTCTGGGACGCCGATCACTTCTCGGCCGACGATTTCCTGGGTGAGCCCCGGCGGGGGACGGGAGGGAGGGAGGGAGGGGAGAGGGGGAGAAGGGGCGGGGAGGGGAGGGATCAGAGGGATGGGGACAGGCTGGATGCGTGGGCTGAGGGATCGGAGGGATCAGGAGGAATTTGTCCCTGGAAAGGGTGGTCAGGCACTGGCAGGGGCTGCCCAGGGAGGTTTGGAGTGCCCAGCCCTGGAGGTGTCCCAGGCAGGCCTGGCCGTGGCACTCAGTGCTCTGGGCTGGGGGACAGGGTGGGGATGGGACACGGCGGGGGGGGATCCATGAACTGGGAGGGTTTTTCCAACCCGGCTGATCCCGGGATTCTGGGAGCCCTGCTGGCTCCCAGGGCTGGCCCAGAGCTCCTCCCCGGGGCGGGAGCTGCTGGGGCAGCCCCCGTGCAGCGTTTTGGGGGTGCCAAGCCCCGTGCCCCCCTGTGCCCGGGCAGGGGCCATCGAGCTGGACCTGAACCGCTTCCCCCGGGGGGCCAAGACGTCCAAGCAGTGCAGCCTGGAGATGGTGACCAAGGAGGCCGAGCTGCCCATGATCTCCATCTTCAAGCAGAAGAGGGTGAAGGGCTGGTGGCCCTTCGTGGCCAGGGACGAGAATGACGAGCTGGAGGTCACGGTAAGGGGGTTCTGCGCCCCGGGGGGGGTCACTCCTGCCCTCCCTGCAGACACCTGCACCCCCCCAGCACTGCATCCCCTCAGGGCCCCTCTGTCTCCACGAGCTGGGGGCTGAGGTGGCAGCGTGGCCCGGGGTCTCAGCACAGCTCTGGGCTCCCTGCAGGGCAAAGTGGAGGCTGAGCTGCACCTCCTGACGGCCGAGGAGGCCGAGAAATCCCCCGCTGGGCTGGCTCGGAACGAGCCTGATCCCCTGGAGAAACCCAAGTGAGTGGGAGACCCCTCCGTGCAGCAGCTCCCCGGGGGGCTGGGCTCCTGTCCCCCTGGAGTGCTGGGGCTCTGGGGCCTTGGGAAGGAGTCCAGAGGGGGACACGGAGCTGCTCCAGGGCTGGAGCCCCTCTGCTCTGGAGCCAGGCTGGGAGAGCTGGGAGGGTTCACCTGGAGAAGGGAAGGATCCAGGGAGACCTCAGAGCCCCTTGCAGAGCCTAAAGGGGCTCCAGGAGAGCTGGAGAGGGACTGGGCACACAGGGAAGTGTGGGAATAACTCTGGTTCTGGAATAACCCCTCGCTTGCCCGGCAGCCGGCCGGACACGTCCTTCATCTGGTTCCTGAACCCGCTCAAGTCCATCAAGTACCTCATCTGCACCCGCTACAAGTGGCTCATCATCAAGATCGTGCTGGCCCTGCTGCTGCTCGTCATGGTCGCCCTGTTCCTCTACAGCATGCCGGGCTACATGGTCAAGAAGCTGCTGGGAGCCTGAGGGACCGGAGCCTCTCCCACCTCCCAGCCCTGCCGGGCTCCACGGCCTTCTCCTCCCCACAGCCCTGGGCAGCTCGGGGGGCATCATCTCCTCCCCACAGCCCTGGGCAGCTCAGGGGGCATCATCTCCTCCCCACAGCCCTGGGCAGCTCGGGGGGCATCATCTCCTCCCTGCTGCTGCTGCTGCTGCTGCTGGGCCCTCTCCTTCAGTCCTCCTCTGGTGCCCTTCAGGCTCCACTCCCAGGGGTGTGGGGCTGGGATCAATCCCGAGGCTGTGCAGCCCTGGCTGGGGCTGGGATCAATCCCGAGGCTGTGCAGCCCTGGCTGGGATCAATCCCGAGGCTGTGCAGCCCTGGCTGGGGCTGGGATCAATCCCGAGGCTGTGCAGCCCTGGCTAGGGCTGGGATCAATCCCGAGGCTGTGCAGCCCTGGCTGGGATCAATCCCGAGGCTGTGCAGCCCTGGCTGGGATCAATCCCGAGGCTGTGCAGCCCTGCCTGGGGCTGGGATCAATCCCGAGGCTGTGCAGCCCTGGCTGGGATCAATCCGAGGCTGTGCAGCCCTGGCTGGGATCAATCCCGAGGCTGTGAAGCCCTGGCTGGGATCAATCCCGAGGCTGTGCAGCCCTGGCTGGGATCAATCCCGAGGCTGTGCAGCCCTGCCTGGGGCTGGGATCAATCCCGAGGCTGTGAAGCCCTACTGGCTGGGGCTGGGATCAATCCCGAAGCTGTGCAGCCCTGGCTGGGATCAATCCCGAGGCTGTGCAGCCCTGGCTGGGGCTGGGATCAATCCCGAGGCTTTGCAGCCCTGGCTGAGCCTTTCTCGCCGTGTGTATTCGGGAAAGGGCTCTTTCCCAGGATATCCGGCTGGAGAAGAGCCACCTCTCCCAGCTCCCCGTGTGCAAGACCCCCACCCACCGACAAACCGAGGACATCCTGGAATTGTTTGGAGGTTGTTGCTGTTGAAATCCGACAATAAAAACCAGCTGTCACGGCCGGGTTCTCTGCGGAGCTCTGGGGCCGGCGGTGGGGGGAGACCCTCGGTGCTCCTGCTCTTCCCGAGGAGCCCTTCCCTCCTCCTTCCCTCCATCTGCACTCTTGTTTCCCGGTCCTGTTCCGCTTTTCCTGCTGCCTCTCCCCAGTTCCCGTGCCCTGGGAGAGGGGATTGTTGGGCAGGGACACCCCAGTCCCTGCTCCGTGGGAGAGGGGGAGGAGGGGAGGAGGGACCCCAGGGCTGCGTCTGTGCCACTGTCTTGGCTTGGAGCCACCCGAGCTGGTGGGAGGTGTCCCTGCCCGCGGCAGCGAGAGGGGAATTAAATGTTCTTTAAAGTCCCTTCTCACACAAACCATTCCATGATGAGATTCACCTTCCCCAGCCAAGGGCTGTGTCGCACCACGATGCCATTCTGTGGGAATTTTAAGCAGAGGAGTGTGTCTATCTCAGAGAGTAATATTTTTACATGTCCATTTTTACATGATGTAAAATGCAGCAATCCCTGCTCCAAGCCACAGGTTTGTCATAAAAGAAACATTCAGTACCAGTTCTGGGAGTGTAAGAAACAGGCACCTGAAAACAGCATTTGTGCTCCATCCCACAGTCAGTGCCAACAGATCCCGGTACCTGAATCACACGGACAAGCCTCTCAGGGCAACTCCCACTTCCCTGGGCTCGGCTCCTCCTCCAAACGTTTAACCGACAACCGAAAAAGACGGGGGAAAAGGAGGTTTATTGGTTTTTCCTCCAAGAAAGCAGCGGTTTGTGTTGCTGTCATTAGACCTTCAGCAGCTTCGCTTGAAGCTGGAATCACGAGTGCTCCTCCTGGATCGGGGCAATTCCAGACACAAACCCAGCCTGGGAGTGGAATGGATGGAGAGCAGCCCTGGGGAGAAGGACTTGGGGGTGCTGAAGGGTGAGAGGCTGGACGTGCTCCGGCCCCCAGAACCCCCCGTGCCCTGGGCTGGTCCCACAGGGATCGTGGGCAGCAGGGCTGGGGGGATCCTGCCCCTCTGCCCCCTCAGCTGAGACCCCCCTGCAGAGCTGCCCCAGCCCTGGGGAACAGCAGCACAAGGACGTGGAGCTGCTGGGAGACAGCCCAGAGGAGGCCACGGAGATGCTGCCAGGGCTGGAGCCCCTCTGCTCTGGAGCCAGGCTGGGAGAGCTGGGGGGCTCACCTGGAGAAGGGAAGGATCCAGGGAGAGCTGAGAGCCCCTTCCAGAGCCTAAAGGGGCTCCAGGAGAGCTGGAGAGGGACTGGGGACAAGGCATGGAGGGACAGGACACAGGGAATGGCTTCCCACTGCCAGAGGGCAAGGGAGAGATGGGAGACTGGGAAGGAATTCTTGGCTGGGAGAGTGGGAATTCCAGTCAAGAACCCCAAGCAGTGCCCAGCTC